CTTTCATTTTATTTTTTCGACTTTCTTGTTATTATTTTTTCATACCAACTAACCCTTATCCACCTCCTTTTTCTTTCCCCATTTCCCCTGGCGAGAATGCTCTAACCTCGTGGTTCTTGCTGGACAATTTAATTTTTTGGTTATGTGTACAGGGTGATTCACCATAAATGTTCCCCCCTCTAGCTCAATTATTTTTAAACCGATTTCAAAATTTGAAATATCATCTTGAATGATTTTTGATTGAGTTTTTTTCCGCTACATCAGAAAATACAGGGTGCTCAGAACAAACGATCTACAGGGTACCATTTGATTTTTTTATATGGAACACCCTATTTTTCATTGTATTTTTAGATTCTCCCTGAAAAGCTGATTTGCTCAATGTATCACACTTGGGGTCTATCGGGAATGATTACAGAGATATAGGGTGTTCAAAATCGAGATTTTTCAACTTTAGGATTTTTTTGAGACGAAACTATTCATCATCGGTCAAAACGGCTTTCATGTCCATATCTCAACTTTTGATTTACTATCTACTGACATTTAATAATTGGAACAGATACAGGGTGATCAGAATTCTGAATCTTGAACCACCCTGTAAATGTTCCAATCAAATCTCAATAGACAGTTAATCAAAAATTAAGATGGAAACATAGGAGCCGTTTCGACCAATAATGAATAGTTTCGAGACAAAAAAATCCTAAACTTGAAAAATCTCGATTTTGAACACCCTATATCTCTGTTATCATTCCCGCTAGACCCCAATAAGTGTGATGCATTGATGAAATCAGCTCTTCAGGAAGAATCTAAAAATACAATGAAATACAGGGTGTTCCATTTGGAAAATTCGAATAGTACCCTGTAGATCATTTGTTCCGAGCACCCTGTATTTCCTGATGCAACGGGAAAAAAAAATTCTGAGGAATCATTTTAGATCATCCTTCAAATTTTTAAATCGGGTCAAAAATAAGTGAGCTAGAGGGAGAAAGGACAATTATGGTGAATCATCCTGTACATGCTTATTTGCCATCGAACTTCACTCAAGCCGCTGACCCACTTACGTTCGCATTTTAGAGCAATATCTATACCCTGGCCGACCCAGGTTCTGAGGGCACGAGCCGTCACTGATGAGATTTGAATAATAACAGTATTGAAAGGAGGATTAATTCTGAAAAATTCAAGTCATTCAAGTATAATATTAGATAATTATTTATTATTATTATTATTATTATTATTATTATTATTATTATTATTATTATTATCATCATCATTATTAGAGGCCACTGACATATTTATTCAATAGGATAACCTTTCTAAATCCAACTTTGTGGTAAATTCATGAGAAAAATATGGTTTTTGTTGATGGTTAAATAACTCTTTGGCAATTCTTTGTTCGAATCCATGGGTTAACTATCAATTTCTAATGTAGTAAAAATATAGGACTTTCACATATTTTCAACAGTAATATCAGGATGTTCTGAATGTTCAAGATAATTCTGAGAGACAGAATTATGATGAGATATCAGGAAGCTTAAGAAGCATTCATCATAAATAACCATGGTTACATCGTTGCAAACACCAATGCTGATAGAATAGATTGAAAGACACTAATGTTTTAGTGATAATATGAGTTGTCTATTCAAGAGAATTTTCATGACTCTAGGTAGTATATGAATGATATGGAAATCTAAGGGGTTTTTATAGTCCTCATGCTTAGTTTTGAAAGTACAGGATGCTGGAGTTTGGCTGCATTTTTCCTGATTGATTTTGGTATGATTTTCATTTCAAAAATTTCTATTATTGAAGATATATTGACCTTCGTTATTCCTTCCAATGAAGAACAACAGGGGGCTGTAACTTTTTCTTCCATATGCATAGGCACCACTGATGAAATTCTGATTATTTAAAATTTTTAGAATTGTCTGTCTACTTATGGACCAATAGTTTCCAAATTACCTCTGACACAAATCATTCTCTTGATATTTTATAAGAAACAAAGAATGAAACACATTGTGGGATATCACTGGAGCAGAAAGTTTTTTAACTCTCATCTCTTTGTAAATTTGCCAATTGTTTTTTGTTTCATTTTGCTCAAATTTTGTGAATAGTTATGTTGTGGGACTGTACCGCGTGCGTCCAACCGCACACGTCAGACGCATGCGTTTCGACGCTGTTAGAAAATCTTACCTTTTCAGCGTTCTTTTATATAAACAGTCATCCGGTATTTATTCAGTCTCTTTCATTATCGTTGGTCCACTCTGTGTATTAACAGATATCATAGGAAATGGCCAAAATGAAAAACTGTTCCTATCAGTTCTACCAACTTTGACCTTACGTCTCAGTAACGTGATCTGGTGATGTGTATAATTGTATATTAATTATGTTAGAATATCTCAAAAACAGTTGATTTTAAGTAAAGGGTATGATACATTAATTTGAATCAGAGTCATGAGAGGAATTCGAAAATTTTGTCAAGATTTAGGGAGTCCTATTGAAAATAACAAATATGACGTCACTTCCGGAAAAACCGGAAACTTCACAATAAAGAAAATATTCTAGCTGGACTCTCCATGTTTCCTTTACCATCCCTACGAATTTTAAGAAACGTGGTACTTTCCCATATCAATGTCTGGCACCATAATTTCCCCAAAGTATATTTATGCTTTTATTTCCATCAGCAAAACTCTTTCATGGAAAATTCATATCAGATCCAGAGCAGAAGCTGTTTTATAAAAATTAGGATCTTTATTCCATGTGGAAAGTTACTTTTTCTACTCACATAACTAAAATTGTATTTAGCGTAGGGATATGTACCACGCTAAATGATCGATTAATCACGAATTGATGATTTGTGAATTATTGAAGATATTGAACACGAATTATATCGCCTGTTTCTATGGAAAACGCTGACATCGCTGACGACTCCGAGATGCCTTCCAGTTCCAAGAAGATGATGCGCCAGTATTTTCAAATCTCATGAGAAATTCTCACTTCATGTTCATAATAATTGTAGCTCTCGTACGGTTCAGATCACATAAGTAATAAAATTTGTTTTTCAAAAAGGGACTTTGAGTTTCGAAAGTTGTAATTGGCGCAGTCGGTAGGATATTCGGTGCTCGCATATCGAAGGTGGACATTTCCGTTTCAACGAATTAACTGAATATTTGAACGGACTTTATTTCGTGGAGGTGTTTGTTGTTGTTTTTTTTTATGACACATTAAGAATGTTTGCGAAGTCTCCAGAATCATGATAAAAAAATGTGAATTATCAAATTTTTGATCATGCTTTAAATTCCAGTATAAAACGTAAAAAAAATTAGCCGTTAATCTAGTGAGGAAAATTCAATATTTAGCCTTCCTATTACAGTTCTGGCAGTAAATAACCAGATCATAGTCCTGCGTGTTCTTTTATAAAAAGTATCATAATGCCTGTGCACATTTTAAGTCATTTCTCCTCAACATATCTTGATTGACTACCAGATCGCGTTACTGAAACTCGAGGTCAAGATTGATGAAACTGTAAGGTATAGGCATATTGAAACTCATTAGGTAATTACGTAATTACCTACTAGTTACAAATCTGTCAGCGTCAAAATATGTGATCCTACTTTTTATGCGAAAGCCAGTATTCGGTTCATGACGTCATCGAACCTGGCGTTTATCGAAGTCGCCGAATTTAATTATTGAAAAAAAAATTTGCGATGATTTTAAATAACGAATGATTGCATCGTATACTATTTATACACGGAATGATCAATATAAAATGGATATGTGGCGAAAATTCATTTCGACATTGACTACACCTCAAGCTGTAGTAGCGCCGTCTGGTGAAACTAAAAATGTTTGCCCTCATTCGATGAATCACTTTTGACACCTTGAAATGAAATTATTAGATACCACAAATGGACAGGGAAGCAAACTCTGCCTATATAAATGAAATAATATACTGGGTGTCAACGAATGTATTTGACTAGTCATAACTTCCACAATATCAAGTGTATATAATACATAATATACATATACATATATAATACATACAATATTTTTTACTTTTCTGTCGGTTTGGAATTTTAAAATGGAACAACGTTCCTGAGATAATTCTGGATCAGAAATTGACATTTTCAGAAATTTTCACGCCTATTCTATTTTTTAGAGTCACTTTTAATATTGCATCTAGGTGGCCATGATCGGGAATTGACTAATCAAAGGACGTCAGGTGATTACAATCGCAAAGTTTCAGTGATTAGTATGATAGTTAATCTTCTCCTGAAGATGCTAACATAGATAGCGAAACACGTGTCGAGGTGTATAAAAAATCGGTTTGGTTAGTGGTAAAACAGTGTATTGTGTTCAATCCCGTTACGAACTCCATTCTCAATTCAGGTTCAAAGGTGGAAATTTGACGTTTAATAGTGCCATCTATTGGTTCGTGATTTTCGCGAATTTCACGGCAGTTTCATGTAATCTCCATGTCACACCAGGTGACAAGATGGTCTATTTAGATTCGTTGTCTTACCGGCACACCATTCTTTTTGGTTATTATATCGCAGGAGATGACAGTTTCATATAGGTCGTGGAATCGCCTGTCGTATTCAACAGTAAGATTCGTTTAGGAATTTATTTTGGAAAAGATAGAAATATCGTCAACCGAAGAATACTGAATTCTAGAAGATGGTTCACTTACACGTTCGTCGGTATGAGCCAACATTGCGTTTTGTGCTTTTCCATAAATCATTGCACCGCCAGCGTTTGCGGTCGGTTGTCAGGTAATTAGATGGCGTTTTCAAAGGCCCCGGCAGTCGTTAACCGATGAAATCCAGCGGTCGGCAAAGTTGCAACTTCTCAGATATCGATAAATGAACGAGTGACCTGTTTTATAATGAACTTCTGTAGTTTATGCTTTAAATTTCATTATCTTGGTGAATGTCCTATTTTTTCCATAAATTGAGTGCTCTGGCCTATTCAGGTAAGACATTAACTAAAGAAATATCTGAATATTTCAGACGAATTTACCTGTCTTCAAGGTGAAAGAATCCAGCGTCAGAAGGAGGTACAGCGATTTTGAGTGGTTGAGGAATGAGCTTGAGCGTGATAGTAAAATTGTGGTGCCCCCTTTGCCTGGAAAGGCTTGGAAAAGGCAGTTACCCTTCCGAGGAGATGATGGTATTTTCGAGGAGGAATTCATTGAAGATCGTAGAAAAGGATTAGAAGTTTTCATCAACAAGTAAGTGAAATAAATTTGTAAACGATGACTGGTCCGTCCTGAGTATCAACTAGTCCTCATAGTCACAGCTAAAATGGTTCGTTGTTTCAACCTTTGATTGAAGCTGCTAGCCAGGGACAGAAGCTCCATCAGTTCCCCCATCAAATTAATTTTGGTATCAGATGGGACAGAAGCTCCATCAGTTCCCCCATCAAATTAATTTTGGTATCATAGATAGGAATATCAGTTCACAGGACAGTACCCCTATATGAAAATAATTGCTAGTCCACTGAATTCTGATGGATACACCCTTGTACAGGGTGGCCAACTAAGAATGCAAGGTACTGTATCTGGGAAACTATCCATGGTAGAGCCTTGCAGCAAAAAAATTATTACTCTAAGAGAAAAACCCGAAAAATATTCTGAAATGGCCGCTAGGGAACATAACTGAAATCTGTACATTCTTAGTTGGCCACCCTGTACATTCTCTCATTATGGAGGTACAATTATTGTGAACCTCGCAGGGGCGAGAGAGGTGTTAGAGACACTCAATGACCAAATGGTATTATCATCATTGATATACACTGCTCGCCAAATTGCCGGTCTTTTGTTGAACTCATCAAAAGGAAGCCACATAGGAAGTAACAGAGGAGTAATATCATCTTTGAATAGGGTGCTGTCCCTGTGGACATACGTTTGTAGCAAAATCATATTCAAATTATGATTCGTTATTTCTTCTGTACATATATTCACTCATCACAATGGTGGCTGAAGTTTGATGAAGAATTGATCAAATTTTATTTTTGTAGAATTGCTGGTCATCCTCTTGCCCAAAACGAAAGGTGTCTGCATATGTTTTTGCAAGAACCGCAAATCGATAAGAACTATGTTCCTGGAAAAATTCGCACAACATAAGTAGAATTCAAAGTTGAAAATATTCCATCCCATCTTTATATCTATCCATATTTTCTAGGTAATAAATGGATTTTATGAAGATTAGGTCAAAGAATTTCAGTTTCTATTATTCTTTATACTGGTTGAATTTTTTTTGTGAATCTATTGTACTAAATCAATCTATTTAAGATTTCAGTCAGTAAAGTCCTTATTTTATAAAATAGTTAGAAGAGAAAAAAGTATCATGACAGCTCCTTATAATTAAACATGAATATTATGGCCTAATTCACATAAAATATCAATTTGAAAAGTTGATACAAAAAGATATATTGAAACTTTTTCTTGTCGAGGTGGATTCGTGGAATATTTAGCTACTGTTCCCTTTCCAATTGCTTCAAAAAGCACATACAATAATGAATTATTAGTACCTCTTGTCACCTTATACCAGGATGCTATCATGTATTCTTTGAATCAATAGCTACAAAATATGCAAGAGAATACCTGTAACGTTACTTGAATTTTTAAAGCAGTTTTTCTTGTGTGTTTTTTTAAAACTAGATATTAGTAATTTTATCGATGATATATTGATATTTTATGTTGAATAAAAAATTTTGGATCTGTATTATTTAGAAGAAAGTTGTTGAATATTGAATATAGTCAAAAAAAGTCTGTGAACTTTAATTAATAATAATTAGTAAATTGAAGATATCTATTGGTAAATGAATATAATACATGCACTGTGGATACATTTTTATTCCATGCTTTAATTTTGTATAATACAATAATTAGGTTAGTTTATGTACAGTTATGAACGTATATGTACTCAAATAAATTTATTTATATGCATTCGTTTTGATCTACCACAGAATCATCTTGCCTCCAACTCTTTTGGCCTTTCAGAGCAATTATTTCTTTCCAAGTATCTCTCAAAAGCCTAGAGAATAAAAACATTTCTTCATCAACATACCAAACAATATTCTCAGTGTTTTATTTGCAAATGAACTACCTGAATGAATAGTGGCAACAATAATATACAGGGTGTCCCGTGACTCGATGCCCATAGCTTAAGGGCATACTTCTTGAACAATTCCAAGTCTAAAGTGCCATATACACTTTTGTCCAAGACTCTATAGGAGTAATGAGCAATATTAAATTTAACAGAGGGTGTAGAATGGAGTAAAGAGGATGTTGAATAAATTAATGTGATATTTTATCAATTAGGATTTTTATATTACGTGGCTGGTACACATCTACCGTGTTTTTAAATGGGAATATCGATAGGTCTGGCGTGGCACTATACTAAATTGAATGGCCTGGATTTTTTTTATTTTTTAGAGACATGGCGAATGATACAATAAACTTGGAATGAACATTTATTTATTTTTTTACAAAAAAAAAAAATTAAACACATTTTGTTTTATGACTTTTACTTAAAACAAATACAAATAAAGTGATTACGGCTAAAAAAATATTCTGGCCCACTGGACCCGGTACATTTTTTTCTCCAAATTAGCGTGGCAGTTAAAGTGTTAACTATTGAGGTTTCGGCAAATGTGAATAAGACACTTTCGACTTGAAATTGTTCAAGAAATATGCCCTTAAGCTATGGGCATCGAGTCATGGGACACCCTGTATAAATATGGAAAAAAGAAGCAGCATTGAAAACGATCACGTGGCACTTCGGAAACATCCAGTACACAATAATGTCCACACAAAAGTTGGGGAACGTAAATCAATATTGTTTAAGGAATATGTAGTTAACGGACCAGCCTCCCTTTACGAACACATGGAATATTGTGAAGGGTGTTTTTGGAAAGCCCTCTATTTAATGGTCTTTTTCCAATGGTAAGGAAATATATAGGGTGTTCCACTTGAAAGTCATGAACATTTTTCTGCTACTAGTATATTTTCTGAGAGTAACGAAATGTATCTGTTGATTAGAGAAGGAAACAATCCCTTATTTTCTATTTTATTCCTAATATCAGAAATATTAGAGGTATAGTTTGTGGTACTTTAAAACGTCACACAGTACGAAGCATATAGGTAAACCTTTGGACCATTCAGGATCTCGCTTAGCTCAATAGGAATGCAAATTTCCTATATTGACAATGTTTGGAAAATACGCCAACATTAAATGAAGAGGGCAATATATCTGGATCTCTTTAGAGATACCAAGATCGTTACTGCGCATGTCAGCATTCACAGTTGGATAGGGCGGGAATTCTGTAATCCTATAACTGCCGTGACTCGTTGAAGATAATTTGATTTATAATAAAGTAAAACAAAAGTGATCTAGTGATCAGTCGCTAAGATACAGAAAATAAAAAGCATTGGAAGACCTGTTGTCCATAGAATTATTCAGAATATGAGATGGTATATTTAAGATGAATTTCTCACATCCTTCTAGTCTATAGAAGTCCAATCCACTTCATGTTAGCAGTCTGGACTTCAAGAAGACTAAACCATTAACTATTAATCGTTCCTATGAAAATCAAAAAAGTTCCCTAACTAGTTCCTGAAAAATAATGCCTGCGAAAAGTATACAGCAGTAAGTGTACACCATATATTTGCAGCTTGTAATAATTCTGTTGCCAGCTGTATTGAGACAGAGATAAAACATTGTCGTTCTAGATGACAACCTAGTTAGATAGTTAGTATTGGTGAAATATTATCTGTTCATTGAAAAGAAAAATGAAGAAAAGCTGTATCTCAGAGACATCTACGTGAACTAACTAAACTAAGTTATAAATGTTTTATTCCTAACTGAAACATTTTTCATGTTCCTGTCAAGTTTGTAAATAAAAATCTGTTATATTGATAATATGTTAATAATTCGGTATTATTGTATTTTTTAAGGATTCGAATTCAAAGTCCAACACATCCACAAAGACGAAGTTATGAATTAATGACACTGTCAGAAAATAATTTTACGATTACGACATCTCATGAAATCTTTTTTTTATCGCCTTCGTATCAAATATCACGTCAATGCTGGAAATCGCGTCTGTGGTTGAGTAGATTGGAGAAAAATAGAAGAGAACGTCAACCTAATATTGTTTATCTTTTTTTTATTTTCTGGTTCTCACGAAAAGGGATATCCTGTAATGTTCAGAGAACCAAGGGAAATAAGGTAGGAATTGGTGTTCTTCTTAAATTTCTGGAGGTTATATGCCTCGGGGAACACCTCCCTTGGCAATGTGTTCCAGAGCCTCGCTGTTCGTTGGATGAACGAATCTTCAGAAAGAGATGTTCTGCAGGTCTCCAAAGTGACCACGAAGGGGTGCGAAGCCTCAACTCGACGGGTTAATCTTGCGGGGACTGCCAAGGGAGAAACAATTATTGATATTTCAGAAGAGCATTGTCCATGAAAATATCTATAAAATAGAGCCAGATCGCCAACTTTTCTACGGTGTTTTTTCCATATTCCCTTCCCCAGCCCCACTTGAGAGGATGACATATTTCAATTCACTGAACAGACAATATTTTACCACCTCGCACAAGGTCGCCTACTAGGTTTTCATTTAGATCGACAATGGATAAGATATGTACCTATTTCTGATTGAATATATGGTTCTAGCAGTGGATGTCAAAATTTCAGTTGAAAAAGTCTTCCAAATGCACTAAATTTCAAAACAAACATTTTATTCTTGATAGATGTCATTCCAGTGTCATAAGATGCGTCGTTATAACTGCCTCCTTAGTAAAGCATGCGAATATTTTTTATCCTTTACAATGTTGGCGCGTTCCTTTCGTTCACTACTAGCAGTCCATATGAGTAAAGCGAGAGCCCTGAATCGTCTTAAGGTTAAACCCAAATCCAAGTGCCGAGCTCAGGAGACGAACAGGCAATATCCAATCTAAATTGGTTTAGTACCTATTTATTATCTAGGAAAGTTTGGGTTGTGACTATTCCACTTTTTTCTCAAGTATGCTTAGATATGAAAGAATCTTACAGACATTCTGTGTGAAGTTCACCGGTGTTAGGAAATATGTTTTTCAGAAGCTCTACACATGGCAAAACTATCACGCTCAAAAATTGTACTTGATCTTCGGGAACCATTTGGGATTTTTCTCGATCCATCAGAGACAACGGTACTAATCCCATTTTCTTCTCTAAGTCTCCCTGATTATAAAATTCCTCTGCGGAAACAAACATTATTTTAGTTCATAGATATCTTCTGTCCTGTGGGTCAACTCACTATAAACGTTATCACATATATTTTTAGCGACCAAAAACGGTTTGCAATTTCCGGACAAATCGCAACTTGTCATCATGATAGCCTTTACTAAAGTGCGGTGCCTATTGTTAGCAAAATCCAATAGTTTTTCATTTATCAACTGTATCAACTTGACGCGGAATTTGAAATATGCTGCCAAGTCTGTTGCCAAGATTGCCTCCTTCATCTCCTTGGAAATTTGGTCGTAAACTTTCCTTGAAATTTGTGGATATATCGGACAATCCTAAAATAATAATTGTTCTTTATTATTGGTTCAACCAAATCGCCATCGACCAATAAGGTAAAGGAGAAGCAGTTATGATAAGTATGAGTTCAAGCACACAACATTTTTCAGGCCAATCTTCAATCTCAATATCCATATCATACAGAAATGAAAAAATAAATGTACGTAAAAAAATATTTTGGAATATATTGAAATATTAAGTTTCGCAGCAACTTTTGAGAAGCACTCCCCACCAGAGGTTAACTGGCCAACAGAATTGGGTCTAGTACATATTTTTACGTTAGATGATAGTTTTTCGAGTATTTCACCCAAATCGAGCCCCAACTACCCTTTCAGAGATTCAGGTATAGTGAATCTCGATGTTTTGTTGCAAATCCTAGAGATTTCAAAAAGATTTCAGTTTCATTTGTGCATGCATAGATTGCATGTATTGGATATTTTGATTCTTGTAACAGTGCAGAAGTAAACAACGATAGCGCGGGAGCGTATACCGTATACTAGGGGATCAAACCAGTGCTTCACAAACTATGGTGAGTTTAATCATAATTTTTTTGAAAAATTTCAATAGCTCTAAAATCATTATGTGTGATCGAATACCCCATCTTATTTATTGCTCCAATTTCAGAAACACAATATAAAAGATTATCAAACTGTCAACTTGATGTTCATCAGTTCATCCACGAAATCAATCAAACTATTGTTGAATTCTGTAGATTTGATAGCGGAGAGCAGATGAATGTTTGAAACCACTACCATACAATGAATTAATCATCGAGATCACAATGCTGTTTATTTCCATCAAAGATCTGAGACAATGTGTGCGGAGCGCGATGTCAAACAGCAACGCCCTTTTAATTTGAAACCCATTGAACAATTTCCCGAGGTACAGGGTGTTTATCTCGAATTGAAATAAATCTTCCGAATTATAATTGTATGAGATAATGTTTCTTGTAGGCTTTTCCAATGAAGACGTTTTAGTATTAAACAAAATTTGCGTTCCTTTTAATCAATGAACGTCTCTGACGATGATGTGTGTTGTATATACATATTTGCTCCCAGATAACACCGATCTCCTTGAGAACTGACGGCTGACTATCGAAATGTAATACCTTACCGGCGTCGACCGTAATACACTTTACTGGCGATTAGATGTGCTACAGCGGCAACAAATTTCAATGTACCATTGATGGGAGCGCTCAGCCACCAACGTATATGCGCTTGCAAATCCGTATCAAGGAGGATGGTTTTTCGAGCACTTTCCAAGTATCTGACCGCGAACTACAAACTGCGCATTTAAAGTTCCGATACGATTCCAGTCAAGCTGTCTGTGTTCCAAAATGAAATATAAGTGATATGGTTAGTTGAAAATACAAATAAGGAATGCAGGTTGCATAGGCCCAAGAGGTAATCACGATCAGGTGTATAGTTGCATTTACCAAAATCATTTTTCCTCGTTTTCAAACAAGAAGTATACATGTTTGTGCTATACACAATATACATCTGCTAAGGAAAAAATATACAGTATGATGCAAATGTATGGAATAAATTCATTTCAAAACAAGACGACTTCCGAAAAAAATCCAAAAACTAGAGTTCAGAACTTTTTTTATTGTGTATTTTTTCAACTAGACGACCCTTCGATGTTCAATTCTCAGTAGCAGACCTCTGCAAGATTCAGTTAACCAAATGATAATCCATTTTAATTGCAATATTCTTATGCAACATTTTGACTGTTGGATAGACGATCAGTAGACCTTTCAAACGAGGTGTCACATGACCCCTGCTTGTATTTGAAAAAATCGTCCATTACGTCATTACTTCTACACCAGTGACGTAACATCTCTCATATGAATGTCATGAGATGAGGCTTCAAAAATTAAAACACGTGTTTTTGGAATTTCTTCAAATGTCGCCCATTTCTGAAATAATGAATTTATTCCATACATTTGCATCATACTGTATATACCGTTTGCGTATGTATCCAAGTACACCTAAACCTTGAAAACATACCTAAATGCATGAAGAACTCGGGAGGATCCTTTCATATATTATTTTTCAACATCAAAATATATACATAATGATACCCTCCAAAAAGCATACTGGGTGAAATCACGTCCGAAAATCTGTCACTAAGGTATTATCAAAATAGGGTATTGCCATTAAAACAAAATGATAACGACATCATATAACTCGAACAGTAATGACGTCATCAAAAATTGCGCAACTGAAATAGAAAATTGACGTGTCTGAGCTTCCTGAACTTCACAGATTTTCACTAGAAAAATCGGACTTTGAAGATTTCGTTCAACATTCATGAAACAGCCCAGCCTGTATACCCATTTATTCCCCGAGATTAATTCACTTTAGTCACGGTTCACGGACGATTTGCACTTGGAACTTCAGAAATATTAGTTATTCAAACATTCATAAATTCTCAATTATGTATTGGTGATATTCCTATTTAGCAATACAAAATCTATTGTCTCAAAATGTTCCCTCATCTTATGGTTTGTGGGATATTGCTTATAATACATTCGTGTAAATAGTAATTATATTAATTCACACTAGAGGACATTCGAAGCGGTGAATGTGACAACACTGCGTGCACGACTTGTGGGTGTGGCCATGTCCCTTCTCAGTATTCAGCACAATGTTGCCAAGTCTCCAATATTTACATGATATTTTGTTATGGAGTATAGGAAATATTTGGACATGCTGGTTGATCGAATAATAAGTCAAGAAGGAACTATAATATTATGGGTTCTTCCTATTGTATTTTATTCAACGACAGGACTCTTACATCTTAACTTGATTATAATTAGTGACTTGACAACATTGCTTTGTGAGTGGGAATGGAAGTTTATCTGACCAATAACGAAACAGTATAAAAGCTGACGTCACCATTTATTCGACGTATCGCCAACACGCATACACTCATTATTTACATAAAAAAAGTGTGAGAAGTGTTTCAAAAATTAATTTAGATCCCTAACGACATAGTGGGGTAATAGAATGCCAATAATTCATTATAAGTCCAGTCGCCCCTTGCATTTGAAAGTTATTCTGGTTTTTAATTTATTTTATATATTTTAAGCAAACCTCAAATGCTTGTCAGTTTTGAACGGATTGGCTGATTTGCACAAACGAAGCGGTGTTGGATAGACAATCGAAAAGCCTTCAAATCCAGGTTTCACGTACCACGTGATCTCCACTTAGATTTGACCAAAAAAAAGTTGATGGTGCCTCCATGACACTATATACTAGGCCACTTGACCACATTCAGTTTCATGCCAAAAAGTAATAGAAGTACTTTTTTATCTAAATTTTACCCGACCCCGACAGCTCGTTCTGTTCAAGAGTTTAAGAGGGGAGGACTTTTTACGTCTTAATTGTATATTAGAATTAACATAGATGAATTAGAATATTAGGAACAAAATCGTACTTCTGTGGACAAACAAATCACAAAGCAAACAGCTCTAAACATAAACGTCTATTATATGTATTACCCATCTTGCACATTATTATTCTTGGGGGTGTAAAAACACTTTTAAACACTTTTTAAATTACGTCCATTACCCCCCACAACCCCCCACCCCTGTATCGACGCCCTTACACTTAATGAGTCCTTGTTTGAAGGAACTAAAGGATATTATTTTGGTCGCAAAATTGCAAAAAAATATAAAGGTACTAGGTACCTCTTATGTAGATTCAAATAATTTCACATTATGTCTAGGTACTTGAAGTATGGCTAAACTCACGCTTAAAATTGTCATAGCCACACGATAATGATGATTTTCTAAAGGTGATTCATCATATAGCTGCGCTAGTGTATCGTCGGTCAGTTGCAAAAAATTATTTGTAAATCCACCATGATCAAGATCATGACAGAGAGCGGCAATCAGTAGAGACTTTATCTGAAAAAACAATAGATAGGTAGTTTTTTTATTGATCTATTGGATAAAACGCATATTTTACCTCGATTTGGTTGAATTTCTTCATATTTCTCCTCAATATGTTGAACATACAGTGGGCTACATTGAATGCATGCTCGAAATTATGATAGGGATTGCCGCGATAACATTTCCTTACTGTTAAAATGAATTGCATCATACTCTTTATGTCGAATTCTGAGGCGCCTATTACTTCTGTTACCATGAGCAGAACAAGTTGTGGCATTTGCGGGACTTCCTCAGGTGTGACATACCAACGAAACCTGTAATACAGATTTCAACTTTTATACTGTAGGTACTGTATAGAATAGAAAATTACATAGCACATGTCATAGTCTGAAATTCATGAAGAACCACTGATAAGTAAGTAGGTACATGGTAAGTATATAAAAACGAAAATGATTTTGTTAAAGAGTAAAGTACCTTATTTATTTTTGACAATATCGAAAATTATTATTGAGAAAAGTTGACAGGGTGTCCCATTTGAAAGAAATGAAGTACCCTTTCATATATCCAGACTTTTTTGCACGCTGTTTATGGCCGTAGTAGTACGTAATGCGTGTTGTAAAGCAATGCTTCTTACAACACTTATTACGTAATATACAGGGTCTAATTCAATTGATAGCTGAAAATAAAGGTTATGGTTCCTTAGCTCATTTTGAGAAGAAAAGTTTATATGAACATATGCCCTAATAATAAACCTCGCAACTTTCGACCTATACGGTATTGAAATTTCAAGAAAAAAATCTTCTTTTCTCATCATAACTTGATTCTTTTATACATCCACCAGTGGCGTACGTAAGGGATGTATCCTGGAGATTTTTAGAAAAAAATATTGTACGCCCTTGATTTTTTCGATAATAAAAATCATTTTTGAAATCCTCATTTTTTTTGCAACAATTTGACTTCCAGATATTTTCCGTCCGACGAACCGTTTTCGCTCAAAAAAATAAAAACAATTGCAAAAAACATGCATTTGTGGAATATCGAAATTATTTTGAACTAAACTACTCAACACTAATTTCGTCGCACACCAAAATATCGCCCCTGTTATAATGTGAATAACTTTTTTCAGTTTAGAACAATTTGAATTTGGTTCACACTGTTCGATAGCCCAGTCCTTCAGCTTTAATCTGGTACTTGAAACATGAGGGTATTCACATAAAATCTCTACATGGGCTTTTCCGACACTGTGCAAAATTTCGGAATATTCAAAAGGCTCGCAAATGGTGAAAACATATTTTTTCTCAACTTCGACAATAGAGGCATGAAGATGATCTCATTACCTCGAGATATTTCGCGAATCAACTCCTATCTCTCTTATTTACAGAGTGATCTCAAAAAAAAATCATCATTTTGTTATGCAGCCATAACTTTTTTCCACGTCAACCGATTTTGGAAATCTTAGGCTCATTTTGAAGATAAAACTCCAGATGAAGAGATCTGGATATTAGAATTGACTCAAGATGGCTATCAAAGATCTGGAGTTTTCTTGAAAGTGACCCAAATCTGGAACGCCCTCCGAATCTCGGTTGGGAGGAGAATTGAATGAAAATCAACTTGTTCTCGGAAAAACAATTCATTCTGGATGCGTCCATATTTTCCTCGCTCTCAGTAGTCAAGAATGTGCGTGAGAAAACAATTGAAACATGATCTTGCAAAAACATCAGACCATTTCTCCTCTGTAATGCATGGCCCGTAACCAACGTTACAAGAATCATAGTAAGTGACTGACAAGTCAGGTTAGACGTCGTTTTCGAATCATAAACAGATGTTGATAGTTTCGATGCCGCATCTAACGCCCGACCAGTTGGAACTGATTCCACAAATGAGGGAACAAGGGTTATCTTCCCTCCAAATCGCGGATCTGCTAAACACGACAGTCCGATCCATTCAAAGGGCTTATCTCCGACACGAATTGTTTGGTTATTACTGTTGATTCGTTCGGCGCATATTATTGCGACTGAAAACTTCACGTAATTGGCAAACTGTTTTCGTGAAACTTTCACCATTTTTGAAATGCGTTTTTACAATAAATAAACGTTGTTTGCTTGAATACTTCTTAAATCGCATGTTATGTACGTGACAACTGTTAAAAAAAATCACTTTATTGAAAAAATCAAAATCCGTTGCTCTTGTTGGTACACCATTTATGATGAGCCTCAGCTGGTCGGGTTTGTCAGTCACTCATTGTGATATTGTGATTCTTGTAACGTTGGTTACGGCGGGCCATGCATTACAGAGGAGAAATGATATAATGTTTTTGAAAGAACATGTTTCAATTGTGTTTTCTCACGCGCAATTCTTGACTACTGAGAGCGAGGAAAATATGGACGCATCCAGAATGAATTGTTTTTCCGAGAACAAGTTGATTTTCATTCAATTCTCCTCCCAACCAAGATTCGAAGGGCGTTCCAGGTTTGGGTCACTTTCAAGAAAACTCTAGATCTTTGATAGCCATCTTGACTCAATTCTAATATTCAGATCTCTTCATCTGAAGTTTTATCTTCAAAATGAGCCAAAGATTTCCAAAATCGGTTGACGTGGAAAAAAGTTATGGCTGCAAAACCTGTAAATAAAAGAGATAGGAAGTTGATTCGCGAAATATCTCGAGGTAATGAGATCATCTTTATGCCTCTGTTGTTGAAGTTGAGAAAAAAATTTGTTTCATCATTTGAGAACCTTTTGAATATTCCGAAATTTCGCACAGTGTCGGAAAACACCATGTAGAGATTTTATGTGAATACCCTTATGTTTCAATGAAGTACGAGATTATAGCTGAAGGACTGGGCTATCGAACAGTGTGAACCAAATTCAAATTGTTCCAAACTGAAAAAAGTTATTCACATTATAACAGGGGCGACATTTTGGTGTGCGACGAAATAAGTGTTGAGTAGTTTAGTAGGCTAATGCCCTATTTTGTATTTGAAATAATGACATTTGATCGATTACGTTGCGGTCTTATTTTGACCAGTATTCATAATCGTGACAGTTTTTTACATTGTGAAAGTTTCTTAAATCAATAAAGGGAAAATAAAATGTTTCCACCCTATAGTTCGAAAGTTAAGAGGTTAGGGAATATGTTCATATGAACTTTTCTTCTTCAAATGAGCTAAGGAACCATATCCTTTATTTTCAGCCATCAATTAAATTACACCCTGTACTATTGTGTCAACATATTTGAAGTCAATAATTATTCCTGTCATCTTTCATTATGGAGTTGAGGGTTATGCAGTTTTACCTTTTCAAATTATAATCAAATCTAAAATTCAGCACCGATATTATTTCTTATATTTTTAGACAAACACTGACATAACTGGAAAAGCTTCCGCCCATTTCCTCTTCTGTGTTTTGAGAATAAAGCGTCTGAATTTGAATAGGTATAATAACCTTTTTATTCAATGTATTTGGTTATCATTCTTCGAAATTCATTTATAACTTCAAGAACTCCAATACATTCCTTCGCATCACAGTCGGTTATTAATCTTTTTTCGGAACCTTTCAATGGAAATATCTCAGAATGATTACTTTCACAGTTAGGTCATTGTTCTGCTGGAGGTGCGATATATGTATATTATATAAATAAAAATTATTACTCCTTGAAATTGTAAGGTTCAGTTACTTCTGGCGTTTCTATGAAATATTCCATATCATGAATGCAAGGTTTAAGTTGCAGTCCCAGTAATTTGAGATTACACACATTGGTCTTATCGGTTTTGTACATCTTCTGATGGAGTCTTGTGTAATGTAATGCCAGAGCACAGTACACCGAGAAGGTTTTGAATAAGTTTTCGTCTGATGGGGTGAAACATACTCCATTGATTTTATTCACCACTTGTACCACACCTGAAGAATAGTACGATGAAATTGATGATCTTAAAAACGCATAGACCAGTATTCGCCATTGCGATTGCAATATAATTTTGATGTAGGATCAAAACTTACATTTTATTTGATTAGGATTTTGGAATGCCTCCTAGAGCAGGATATCCTTAAAATAAAAAACATCAACAAGAAAATTTCCAAAAGAGTATTTTTCTTTCCATTTTAAACCGCGTGAGAATTCTTATTTACTTAGTCTCAATTATTCTTCATTGGCACCTTTCAAAATTATTGAATAAATTGTAAATTTTGATATACACTTCATAGATTGGGAGATGATGATATAGTTAACGTGAGGATTTTCTCGTTTACGCCTCTGAGAGGACTGAGAAGTACAAAGTGTACTGACAGAAATGGGAGTAAATTTGTGCAGTCACCGCATATGGAAAATAAAAAAATAGTAATTTAACAAGTCCGGAATATACTGTTTTTGGACGAGTAGTCAAAATTCTACGCCGAGCCGTAGGCGACTCCTGGAAGTCTGCGAGTTCAAAAAAACTGTTTTTGGACGTGTTGCGTACACTATTTTTTCGGCAACCATGTAGAATAACAAATCAATGAGACACATTTCCATATTATATTTCTTTGTAGAAAACAATTTCTCATTTATCAATTCTCATTGCTATCAAATATTGAAATTTGAACAGAATACCTATACCTACTAACTGTTACATTGGAAATTTCGTATGGACATTTTCAAACTCCCTATCGCAGCTGCTTTCGATAGTTTATTACGATAATTGCAACCAAACTTTAAAAAATCAAAATGTCAACTAATTTTATGTCAAATAGCTGTCAGCCGATATTTCGCTGCTATAGTAATTTATCAAAATCATATCTACCAAGATTTTCATAGTTACAGTGACAACAACGATGTGATACTTCCCGGCCTATTCCGGGAAGTACGTACTTCCCGGACTAGTCTGGAAAAATGCTACTTTCCCAAAGAAAAAGCGTCTGGGAAGTGAGCACTTCCCGGACGGTTGCCGAAAAATAAATTTTTTAGACAATTTCGTCAGCACTACCATATGCATTAACAGAATGTTGAGTGATGATAGGCATAATAGTTGCAAGTCACCAGGTACTGCGTTCTTACAGTTGCTACCAATTAAAAGTATAAAAGTTTTCATCATGAAATAACCATAAAAAAAGTGCTGGTAAATTTTGTGGAAATGTCGGAGGGTTTTTCGATGACTTCGTTGTATATTAAATGATGTTACTTAATAATGATGTGAATTTCTATAATACAAAATAGCATTAGTGGCAGAGGTGCTCTCTATATAAAAAAAATTCATGAAGTCGCGAACAAACACAAAAATCCTCACACCTTCATTTGCCTTAAAAAAGTTATTTTATACGCCTGTAACAAAATGCATAAGTATCGACGATACCAAACATGTGAAAATACATGAAGACTCGCTGCAGCAAGTCAGGCTGCACATTTTTTAACAAATTTATAGTGATTGCATTTTCAATGCCTATCATTTTCAGCTGCTAGAATTTATCTCAACATTCTCGTACATGATAGCGCCAAAAAAATCGTCTCAAATCACATATTTATTTTTGGGCAGTCTCATCATGCATAGGCAGAAACAAGATAATCCATAGTGTCTTGAAATCGATCACAATCTCCCAGGTCATCACAGTTTCAAAAGTATTGCATAAGAATATCAAAAATTATATCTTGGTCAAAAGTCGTCATGAATGGCAAGGAAAATGATTGACATAAACATACAATGATAGTTTATAAAATGGTGTATGTGCTAAAAGTATCGACCAAATTTGGTGTCATAACCTTCGGTTAAGTAAGTTGAAATCGCGACTCTATAAGGTTTCAGTTTTATCATTGGTTGATGGAGGATGCCCTATTCCGTCAAAAACGAAAACTGAGGACATCGACATTAGGATTCCATTGAGTTTTTGTCGGCAAAGAATATTCAATTTATTCTTCCATGATAGTTAGATCGCCAGTTTTTCACCAATGTAACCATGGTAACTAGCCTTGCTCGGGTAACAACAAGAACAGCATTCCCATAAACGATTCAACAGGTAATTTAAAATTCATGACCACCCTTTAGCAAGGTGAGTTGTGATATCTCGGCATTTTCACCTAACATATTATCTACGCTGACAATTGGCATGCATAGAATCGACCTAGTGATGAAGCCAGTCTTCTCGTCCACTTCAGTAAAAAACCTGGGATCATTATAAGCGTCTCGAATATTCACCGTCGCTCCAGTTCTAGCTACGAGGCCTGCTATACTTCGATCTTTCGATAGACGTACTTTGACGTTTTTGCGATGCATGGTATCGTCCACGCCAATGCCTTCTTCGAACACTTCCGCTACTAGATCGTCACTTTCCTCATCTATTATAAAAAATGTACCTCTTTCTGCACCTAAAGTAGATTTGGCAAATTTCTGAAAAGTTGAGAATAATTTTTAGTTCAGCTCTTACAGGAAGTAATTAAAAAGAGATTCATTTTGCTTATTTCCTCTGCGATATCACATTCTGAGAACCTCTATGGAACCGCTGCTAAATCGAAAAATCATGAGGATTTTTCGGATGAAACATCTTATTCATTTATTCGGCATGAATAGCTCAAGACAAAAAATAAAACAACATACTAATACACCCATAATAACACAATTGTTAGATACTCACACCACTAATGATTATTACAATAATTATTAATGTATGAAGGGAATTATAAGGGCCTTAATTACCGATGGCAAAGTTTGTGTTCCGAGAGCCTCTGGCCCAAGGGACAGCAATTGCCCGAGGTTATTGAGGTTCATTAATAGGCGAGTGGAATATTTTTTGTTTATTACTCAAATAGAATCATCACTCAAATACCTATCAATTTCATATCTTTTTGGAATTTTTCGGTCTATTTTAAGGTGCTAAAATCTTCAATGATGCCACGGTAATTTTCAAATGGCTAGAAATTTACCGCGAGTAAAAATTGACGTCACGATTTCGTAAGTTGGGGCAGACCATAGCACAGTTGCCATATGTTGAAATACAACTGGGAAATTCAGAAGTATTTGTTATTCAATAATTCATAAATTCTCAATTATGTACTGGTATAAAACTTATTCCTAATAATCAATAGAAAAAACGAAGACACTGTGTGCGATTTGAAACCGTCATATTATCCGAAAATTTGGAATAATATTTTTAACGCCTGAAACAGTGGACTAATACCCATATTGCAGAAATATAGGTTCATTCAAAAATGAAGTGAAAAAATTGATTATTTCTGAGCGAACTGGATAAAATTGAACATGCCATTTTTTTTTACAAATATTATTCTTTGTTTGTCAATTTACAGTTGTTGATATATTTTGTATAATGATATGTTTACCTATAGGTATATGATTATGTACTTCCTTATACCAGAGCCTATTCTGTCTGGAAGTTATTTGTTCAATAAATAATAAAATAATAATAATAATAATATTTTTACCGAAAAAGTAGAAAGCCTATTCGATTCCCTTATATACATTTTTAACGCGATATTTCAACTTGGGTGTTTGTTACACGAAATAAAACATTTAACTCATCGTCATATTGGTCATCGCAGTAACGCGATTATAAACAAAAGCGGGTACGTTTGCTGTGGATCCGAATTTCAAAGAGACCGAACTCGAGAGGGATGTGTTTCGAAGTCGAAGCTTTTTGGCCGCCTCTCGGCTTCCTATGTGTTTAACAATAGAGCTCCTCACACTGGTAGATTTGCAATCATACATAAGTTAATGTAATTACATCTCGATCGTTCCCCGAACCATGCGTACTATTTGAAACAGGAGAAAACTAGTGCGACTCTAGAATCCAGCGAAAATGGAACTACATATTTGACACTGAATTTGTGAGGGGAATGGAGTACTAGAGTCACTGGATGGAATTAGTAGGATGAGAGTTCGGACACAGAAATGACAATTGTTAGTGTTTTTGAATGTGACATACCTTGCATTGTGACAAGAGCACCATAGTCGTTCCGCGCTTGTTCATTCAATATTGTTTGAATTTGATAATACATGAACGTCAGAATTGAAATGTAATTTCATAAAGTATTGAGAAGAAAGCATAAATGAAAATGTCCTGCTGTGTAATGAATTGTGGGAATCCTGAAGAGAATGGATTTCATTTAATTTTCCAAAGGAAATATCAACCATTCTCTAATAGAAGGAATGTATGAAACGGCATGGATGGAAAATTAATAATCAATAAGACAAGCAAAAGTGAGGTACCTCCATAAAAAATCACTTTATTTATAACAGCAGATTAAAATGAAACTATATTTTAGGCTCATATCCGAACAGACGATTTCAAGATCCGTTAGAGAGAATCTGCTGTTTCATCCATTTACCAAAACAGACTACACGTATTCAAAATAATCTATTATTATCATCACACGGAATGTAAAACAAAATTATCATGGAGAAAGAGAAATTGATTGCAAAACTACGTAATCAAATTGAAAAGTTAAGAACGAAACTGAGGAAATCAAGTAAATTGCAACGTGATATACACTGTGTTCAAGATGAGGATGTCTATCATTGGAATCGTTTTAATTTTTTTCTGGCGTTAATTAAAAGAGATATAGGAAAACATAAAACACTTTCCCATTCCCATTTTTGAAGCTCAACATGATATCTACATTATATCATTGAATGGAGTTTTCAATTCCGACCGAACTAGCTATAAGTATATCCATATGTGTTGTCACATTAAAATGTTGTTACATGCATTCTTCTCATTTTTATAACTCTTGTTCTGCGAAATATGCCCTATAAATTGAAGTGGGTGTTAATACCCTACTTCTATTTTCCATCTACGGCTATGGTTGATTTGACAGAAAATGTAACCTCTAAAATCGTATCTGACAATCAGGCGCTACTAGGGAAATTGAAAAGACAAAGAGCGGAATATGTCTTATTCTTTTATTCACTCAAGCATTGTAATTTAGAAAATAGAAAAGGACTACTACCATCCAGTGGTTCTAGTATTAGTAGATAAGAGTTCGAACACAGCTGAACTTCTGTCCGTTTCTATTTTTCATATTACAATGGTTTGAGTGAATAAAAGAATAAGACATATATCCTGCTCTTTGTCATTTCAATTCCCCTAGTATCACCCGATTGCCAGATACGATTTTAGAGGTTAGATTTTCCGTCAAATCAATCATTGTCGTAGATTGAAAATGGTATAAACACCCACTTCAATTTAAATAGCGATTAACAATTCATGTAACATCATTTTAATATGACAAAATACACACATATATGTGTATACCGGGTGGCTACGGAAGTATTGCCTACGGAATATCTCAGTTATTGTATGAAGTAGGTTTGTGAAATTTGGAGCGTCGTTATAATGACATAAGAGCTAGAATTTGAGCATATTGACATGTCGAAGTTAACTTCCGGTCTGACCGGAAGTAACATCAACTTTCTTATTTCTAATGGAAACCCTATTTTTTTTTCTTCTCGCTTTATTCAGCATTCAATTCCCTTTCTAATGACATATCACAAGTTGGTATCTAAACAGAAACTAGATCAGAAAAAAATTATTATTGAAATTCACCGAGTAGGCCGTGGAAGCAAAATGATAGCCAAAAATTGAAAAGTTGGCTATGGAAACCATACGTCACTTGATAACAGTTGCTACTACTGTGATATTTTATTTTCATTCGTCGGCGTTATAAAAAGCCGCCAAAAAAAATATTGGAAAAATTGGGAAAAAAACAATACTCTGTAGGTCCATAACTTGAATAGGAACATACAACTTTTTCTTTACTGTACTATTCAGCATAACCATTCCTTTCTAATGATATAATAGAAAGTCATTTTTTGAAATGAAATACGCTTCCACGGCCTACTCGGTGAATTTCAATAATAATTTTTTTCTAATCTAGTTTCTGGTTAGGTACCAACTTGTGATATGTCATTAGAAAGGGAATTGGATGCTGAATAAAGCAAAAAGAAAAAAAAAATAGGGTTTCCATTTAAAATAAGGAAGTTGATGTTACTTCCGGCAGACCGAAAGTTAACTTCGACATGTCAATATGCTCAAATTCTAGCTCTTATGTCATTATATCGACGCTCCAAATTTCACAAACATACTTCATACAATAACTGAGATATTCCGTAGGCAATACTTCCGTAGCCACCCGGTATATATATAACTGAATAACTGTACCCGAGTGATAAGTTTAAAACATGAAGATTGTTTTGATTTTCCACCTTTTTCTGTAGGTATTCACTTTTCACTAATAAATGTTGAATCTAATCAGTATTGAGAACGCCATTCAATGATATTGTATCACGTTGCAATTCACTTGATTTCCTCGGTTTCGTTTTCAAATGTTCAATTTCATTATGTAGTTTTGCAATCAAGTCCTCTTTTTTATGATAATTTTGTTTTGCATTTCATGTTATGATAATATTGTATTTTTTTTAATAGTCTGTTTTGTATATGAATGGAACAGCAGATTCTCTCAAACGAATCTCATAAATCTTCTGATTGAAAATGGGCCTAAAATATAGTTTCATTTCAATCTGCTGTTATAAGAAGTGAATTTTAATGTTTTGCTTGTCTTCAAATTAATTTTCCATCAGGTCGCTTCATGCAATCCTTTCATAAGGCAATAGTTGAAATTTCCTTTGGAAAATTGAAGGAATGAAATCGCCACTCCCTTCGAATTCCAGCAATTCATTACACAGCAGGTCATTTTCATTTATGCCTTTTTCTCAATAGTACCTATATGAAATTATATTTTAATTTTTACGTTCATAAAATGTATTGTCAAATTCAAACAATTTTGAAAGAAACAGCGCGGAACGCGACTATGATGTTCTTGTCACAATGCAAAGCGTGTAACTCAATAAATCTAAACATTCAAAAACACTAACAGTTTTCATTTCTTTGTCCGAACTCTTATCTATTACCATCCAGTGACCAACTGATAGCATCCAGTGACTCTAATTTTAGCCCATCAAAAACGTGTATTTTGAAATGAGTGGAATAATCGCGTGCATTCGTTCACATTTTATTAATCACATTTTTCGGAGTATGTCATTTTCGCGTCGCGTTGCTTCGCGTTCGCACAGAGTTCGCCCGCGTAACATTTCTTTGAAAATGCATTCTCTATCGCTAAATCGACTCAGAATCTTGAGAAAGTGATCTAAATCAATAACCCTATGCAGGATATCAAATTGGAATATTGCTTACGACAATTTCAGTTATCATTTTTTCTATAGCCACAGTTTCCGCGAAATAGCACTTAGTCAAATCGAGGAGATAGTCGTTCAGTTCTTGTTGTTTCTGAAGCGTCAGTCGGAGATGGTTCTGGTGAATGGCAGCACCCATCCAACCTGTCACCACAATGGATATCTTCAGATCATCCTTGTTGAACGGTGGTTGAGTTACTTCTCGATAGAGCTCAATCACAGCATAACAGTCACCGTCTGGGGTTACTACAGGGACGCATAGTACAGATTTTATCATATCCCCTAAAATAAGGATTTGATTCAAAATACATGGCGATCTAGAAATTATGCTAAAAAGGACCCGGTCATTAAAATCATTTACGTGACCTTCATAAGTATTTGATACTATTATTTGTAGATCCGTTATCAGCCAACTACAGTTCTCAACACACCAAATGGACCACTCATAATTTGACTCTATTTCGAAGACCTGTATTTTTTTTAAAAATTGACCGATCTTCATGCGGTTTTCGATATCAGATGTGATGTTTCATCGACTTCGAAGAGAGCTAGAACAATCTGAAAAAGTCTGCAAAACAAAATTCACACAGGGTGTAAAGTGGAACCATTACACTATGGTCTACATTTCCAATGCTGCCAGAACTCGAGAAATTTTTTTCTGATCAAAAGTCAGTCATATTATGATACACTGGGACCTCATCTCGGGACGTTTTCGTGATTTAATTGGCCATTGGAACAAAAATTCGATTTTTTTTCGAAAGTCTTGCATTTCTTGATTTTTTCCTCTAGAACTCCACTTGAGCTGACTATTGGGAAGTAGAGTCCCTGTATGTATTTGACACTTTTGCTGTAATAAGAGTACGGACACTATGACAAGCAGTGACAGAAGGCATAACCCTAAAAAATTTAAAATGACATGAACAATTTGGCGGGCACTGACAGTTCATAAACGTACATGACATTAAATTATTTGAAAATTCAGGTTTTCAAAAATTAAAATGTCTAATTGTGTAGTGGAGAATTGCAAAAATGGAAGCGAGTCCTTTCATTTATTCCATTTCCCCCATTCTAACCAACAAGTTCATATACCCTTTGTTAAGTATATCGAGAAATTCTTTCAACAAATTGATTTACAAACTATGACCCCTTTTCGCCAGTGAGATGAGACGCCACTTCTTTATGAAAATAAAGACAGAGAAAGATATATGGATGTACCCTTCACCGCGGCAGTAGAGGATAGAAGATCCGAAGTGCATGTAAAAGCATATCCATGTCTTTGTTCAAAAGTCATTTTGAGAATTTGTGGTTATGCCTTCCGTCACTGCTTGTCATAGTGTCCGTACTCTTATTACAACAAAACTGACAAATATATACAGGGAATTATACATACAGGGACTCTATTGGGAAGAACTGTTCTCATGTTTTATGGAGGATAATGAAAGACGAAAAAAGAACTTTTTTGGATTATACAGGATGATAAGAAACTAGGACAAAATCTCATTTCAGTGAAAAAAATCAAAAATGGTGACTAAAACTATGGCCCATTCGATCCAGTATATTCAGAAACGGCCTTCTTGATATCCATCATTTATATTAGACTACTAACTCGAGATGATTTCGAAAATTCGCCTCTAAGTGAAATACAGGATGAAATTTTTCAATTCAAACTTGTTTCCTGATATCGATGATTTTCAATATTTATTGCCCAAGTATGAGAAACAGAGAATTGTTGTTCAATATACTGAGTGTTTTACAACTACGATATTACATGAGAAGTCTATCACAAAAAAATTTAATAGAAGTGAAACGCGATGGAAAATAATATTTGTAACACTTTATATCAACTAAAACTTTTCGAAAAGGGTGATAAGAAAATAGGACAATACAGGGTGAAAATTTTCAATTCAAACTTGTTTCCTGATATCGATGATTCCCATCATTTTATCAACGGATTTCCAATATTAATTGCCCAAGTATGAGACACAGAGCATTGTTGTTCAATATACTGAGTGTTCCACAACTTATCTGACAAATAACGACCTCTAGAAAACAATAATGTTAGAAGAATGTGGTGACCAGCATTATCTCCAGATCTGAATTTGATTGAACATGTGTGGAGCCGAATGAAACTTAACCTATCGAGAAGGCGAGGCACCCCAAAATAATGACAACCTTATCCAGAATGGGCGGCAATATCAATAGACTTCATCAACAACCTCATAAAATCTATACCAAACCGATTTCATGAGGTTTTGTTGAATCGAGGAGGCCTACCAAGTACTGAAATTTAGGATATAGGACTTTCTAGTTGGATCTTCATAATGCTGAAGAATTCAATTTTAGAATAGTTTTAGTGGATATAAAGTGTTACAAATTTCATTTTTCATCTCGTTTTACTTCTATAATTTTTTTTTGTGATAGACTTCTTATGTAATATCGTAGTTGTGGTTGAAATTTGTCAGATAAGTTGTAGAACACTCAGTACATTGAACAACAATACTCTGTGTCTCATACTTGGGCAATAAATATTGGAAACCATCAATATCAGGAAACAAGTTTGAATTGGAAATTTTCATCCTGTATTTCATTTAGAGGCGAATTTTCGAAAACGTCTCGAGTTAATGGCCTAATATAAATAATGGATATCGAGAAGGCCGTTTCTGAATATACTGGATCGAATGGGCCATAGTTTTAGTCACCATTTTTGATTTTTTTCACTGAAATGAGATTTTGTCCTAGTTTCTTATCATCCTGTATAATCCAAAAAAGTGCTTTTTTCGTCTTTCATTATCCTCCATAAAACATGAGAACAGTTCTTCCCAATAGTCAGCTCAAGTGGAGTTCTAGAGGAAAAAATCAAGAAATGCAAGACTTTCGAAAAAAAAATCGAATTTTTGTTTCAATGGCCAATTAAGGAGAAATCACGAAAAGTTCCCGAGATGAGGTCCCAGTGTATCATAATATGACTGACTTCTGATCAGAAAAAAATTTCTCGAGTTCTGGCAGCATTGGAAATGTAGACCATAGTGTAATGGTTCCACTTTACACCCTGTGTGAGTTTTGTTTTGCGGACTTTTTCAGATTTTTCTAGCTCTCTTTGAAGCTGATGAAACATCACATCTGATATCGAAAACCGCATGAAGATCGGTCAATTTTTTAAAAAAATACAGGTCTTCAAAAAAAAAAAAAATCTATTGCATGTTTTTCATTTCATCGTTACGTGTTACGTTTTTATGAAACGATTGGTAATGGAATATATCTGTAGACACATCAGGCGCATATATTCTTCGCATAAAATACATGTTATATGGCGTCTATCAATATACAGGGAGGTAAGAGGTAAGTGTTTACTTTCCTGTGTCAAGAAAATCGGTGATTTGGCTATCAAATTCGCTACCTAACTTCGAAATTCAGTTTGATTTCGATTGGTTCAAATACTCTCAAAGTTAGTAGACAAAATGTTATTGCATGTTACCTATTACTGTTCATTTTGTTGAGAAAAAATAATTCACTATTTTGAATAATATACAAAATAACTTGTTAATGGTCAGTGATGTGAAAAAATTTAAGCATTCGCAACATTCAAAATACGCAAATCTTGGAAAACTAATTGGTTGTTGATATTTGATGGAGTGAATTTATGATAAGGAAAATATCGGAAATTACTTCAACATGCATCTTGATCTTGAGGAACCAAGAAATCAAATAAAAATGAAAAACTCGTCCAGTTTGTTCTAAGAACTATCTGAATTGCGTAAAGATTGAGTGAGTACGTTAATCTTACCATGATATCCAACACCTGCTGGAAATCTTTCATCGCCCAGTATATCATCGACCATGAGATACTCTCGTTTGAATGCGACATATGCGGCAACAATGCTACCTTTTTGGATTTTCCAATTCACTTTATGTCGATCTCCAGTGAAATTTCTTTGACTCTGATAAATTTCTTCAGAAGCCGAATCCACCATATACAATGTCACTCCTATTCGAAAAAAAAAAACGTCAACAGGAAAACACTAGAAATAAAAATAATATCAAACTGAACAAGCATAAACACTCCTATTACAAAAAAAATCTCCAATCAATGCAGGCTGCCGTTTTTTAAACTGTCAGCCGAATGAAATAATAAACTCGAGATCTCCGGCTGTTTTCAAGTGTAGACTTAAGGAACTCCTAGTCAGAGAATGCTTTTATACTGAGGAATTCGAATCCTACTTTTCAATTTCAAAATAATATCGAAGTATTCCTCAATTTATGTTAGTCATCACTGTAATTGTTTCATCTTGTCTCACTATTTCGTTTCGTCTTAATTACACTGTTCTTTCTTTTGACATGTGACATTGACGTATCCTATATATTGTTACCGATAGTTGAAAGGATCAATAAATATTTTATTTTTTATTTTTTTATAAAACATAAAAAATGAAGCTAATGTGTTCGACATGCTAGACAATCAATCATCATTCCGAAAGTGCTTGCAATTCTCGTCTTTGTTGGTACTAGGTTAGTACTAGGTTGTGTAGTTTCACTAACTGATAGATTTAAACTAACAACTTTAATAATCTATTTCAGATATTGCATTCGTGAACGGTCAGCAGGCTAAACAATTCTATTATAGATTGCGAGTTTTAAAAAAAAAATCACAACATATATACTATGACGAAGGGAGGTGTTTCCCAAGTTTGTATTTGATATTCAATGTGGTTAAAATTTACATTTCAAAATGAATTCGAAAAAATGGAAGATTTACTTTTGAGTACAAACATTCAATATCAATATTGTAGGTATTCTCACCATGGTCGTTATTCATGTTTCTTAGAAATCAATTTTGAATATGTTGATATCACATCGGGTGCTTACAGTTACGGAGAGTGCTTACACTAACGTTAACCATGTTTTTCTTGTTTTTAACGCCTGTGAGTATTTGAAGTTGTTTTCTGAGTTACAGTTTATATTCAAGGAAACACTGTTTTCAATTCCATTCAACTTTAATATCACGACTGTATCTGTTTCAATGATATCATAATTTTCTTAATTGTTTCTAATAGATATTTTTATGAATTCAAGGACATATACAAATTTGATTTACGTGTAAAATAAGTTAAGGGCGAATGATGCATCAACAAAAAATAGAACTTTTGTGTATCGTGAATAAATATATGCAGGAATACCATTGAACCTTGTTTCATTTGTCCGATATCTTCACAAATTTTATTTTGTCAAACATTATGGCAGAGCAGTCATTTTTTCCATAAAAAGTTTGCACGGAAGTTCAATTGTGAATGATTTTAAAAAATGCATGTCTCCGTTAAACAGGGTGTCCCGAAATTAACCTGCCAAAATTCACCAGCGGCTTCTACAACAAATAGGAAGAGAAAATCCAATGATCATGAGTCGATGCAAAAATGATGCAATTCGGTATAATAATTAAACTTTCCATGCACAATGCAGTGAAAATAAAATTATCCCAAAATTTCATGCGGGAGTGGGACTACATCAAATATGGCTCATACTTTTATGTGTATATTTTTCGACGATTTGATCTCGGATTATGAAATCCACACCTCTTTGAAGAAAAAAGATACTCTTGTTCCGTATCGATCAAATCTATCATTCTCGAGTAAAATCGATTAAAAAAATATTGTTACATCTCATATATTATGCAGAACTGGTGAAGTTTGGCAGGCTACTTTCGGGAAACCCTGTATAATAATTGACTATCGCTGACGTCCAAGGTTGAAGTAAAAAAATCGGTGCTTCGTCACAATATGTTTGAAAAAGACAATTTTTTGATAATACAAGGTGTCCCAGAACAACGTACCATATATTATCAAAAAAAAAAAAAAAAAAATACAAGGTGTCCTAGAACAACGTACCATAAATTCAAACTTTTTTCTAACTGCTGTTTTTTTTTATAAGTTAATAGATTTCATTTGGGCTATTAATAAATTTAAACCTTATAAATCCCCTGGAGTAGATGGAATATACCCCATCCTGCTTCAAAAGGGGCAGGAAATACTAATTCCACATTTGTGTCGTATATTCAAGGCTTGTATAGCAATACGATATATACCGATAGTATGGCAGAAGGTGACAGTCATCTACCTTCCCAAAGTGGGAAAGGTGGGTGACAAAACGCCAAAATCATACCGCCCAATAAGTCTAATGTCGTTCCTGCTCAAAACGCTGGAAAGACTGATAGACAGATACATAAGAGACGAGGTATTACAAAAAAACCCGCTCAACGAACGCCAATATGCGTATCAGCCAGGCAAGTCAACTGACTTAGCACTGGATGATCTGAACAGGCTACTCGCGTCGATAGAGGACAAAGAAATAGCCATAACAACATTCGTAGACATAGAAGGTGCTTTCTATAACGCATCAACAAATTCTATAATTAATGCCCTAGCAAGGAAAGGAGTACCGCTACTCCTGTGCCAGTGGATAAATGTCAATTTGAAAAATAGGGTTATCATATCCACAATTGGCGAGACAACTCTGACAGCTAGAGCAGATAGGGGATGTCCACAGGGAGGAGTATTATCGCCCCTACTATGGGCCATTCTAATGGACGAACTGATCAAAAGGCTAACATCCAAAGGGTATTATTGCTTAGGATATGCCGACGACCTGGCGGTTATCGCTAGAGGTAGATTCGCAAGTACGGTCTCGGAGCTCACACAAATCGCTCTAAACATAATTGACAATTGGTGTAAAGAGGAGGAACTCACCGTGAACCCTCATAAAACCACTATAGTGAATTTCACGAAAAAGAGAGTACTGGAAGGATTAAAGTCACCAGTACTCAACGGGGTAGAAATTCCGTTCGTCCTAGAGGCAAAATACTTAGGAGTCATCTTTGACCATAAGTTAACATGGAATCAACACCTACAAAAAATTGTTCAAAAAAGTACAGTAGCCTTCAATCTGTGCAGACGAATGTGCGGGAAAAATTGGGGACTGCAACCAAAAATGACCACATGGCTCTATGCCAGCGTCATCAGGCCTATGATAGCATATGGGTCAGTAGTTTGGTGGCCAAAGACACAACAGGCTGGAGTGATTTGAAGGCTCAGTGCTATTCAAAGGCAAGCTTGCCTGAGTGCCACTGGTGCAATGAAAACCACTCCAACAGCCGCTTTAGAGGTCCTCTTGAACCTACCACCACTACAAATATATATTCAAGGCGAAGCCAGAGCAGTCGTGAGTAGATTGTCAAGGGGTCAAGCACCCATAAGCAACGCGCACGGTAAAGACTATAGAAAGCTATATGAAGAGTTGGAAAGCGACCCCATCATGGGAATGCCAACGGATGGCCTAATTCCAAAATATAGCTTTGAAAAAACTTTTAAAATAAGTATAACAGACAGAGAGGCATGGAAGGAAGGACCTCATATCAATGCAGACATTGCTGTCTATACGGACGGCTCCAAAACTGAGTTTGGATCAGGAGCTGGTATTTATGGGGCCAAGCCAAAGACAAGAATCTCACTGAGCTTAGGTAAATACGCGACGGTGTTTCAGGCAGAAATTATTGCAATACATCATTGCGTGAAAGAATTGATAAGGCAAGAGTTTAAAGGCAAAACCATTGCAATCTATTCAGATAGCCAGGCGGCAATCAAAGCAGTCAACTCTATGCAAGTTAACTCAAAACTAGTATGGGACTGCTTAGAAACCCTAAATGCACTGGGCAGTCAGAACAGACTGACTCTAGCATGGGTACCAGCACATACAGGGTACGAGGGCAATGAAGAGGCAGACTCACTTGCCCGAGCAGGAGCAAACAAAGCTCTGAATGGCCCAGAACCCTTCTGTGGTATTGCGAAAGCTATACAAAAGACTAGTATCAAATCATGGATGCAAACCAAATCTCAAGAATGGTGGAACAAATCGCCAGGAATGAGACAGGCAAAAGAGTTTATTAAAAAACCATCGCCAACATTCACAGAATATCTACTAAGCCAGAAACGAAGTTCAACTAGAATACTAGTGGGACTTCTCACAGGGCATTGTAGGCTCAACAAACACATGAGTACGATAGGTCTGACTGAAGAACTGCTGTGCAGGTTCTGTCAGGAAGAGGAGGAAACAGCAGTACACATACTTTGCCACTGTGAGGGCTTGTCAAGACTAAGGTTCCTTACGCTGGGTGAGGAAAAACCAGAAGCCCAGAGATACACAGGGGATCTGAAAGCTAGCCTATGGAGTCTCATAGAGAAGACGGGGCTAGCCGAAGAACTCTAATCGATTTTGAGGGCAGACACAATAAATCTGAAAAGGTCGCGGTGTGGAGGCAGATAGCCCGAAGGCCCCATTCTAAATCTAATCTAATCTAATCTAACAAAATTCATTTTGGTGCTTCTCCATACTTGTTTATAATGTTAGGATTACCTATAATATTTTGCAAATTTCTACCTCATTTGTTATTGACCACAATATCCATGTTCACCATTTCACAACCTCATCATCATATGATCTGGGAGCTGGTCGATTCCAAATTTGATTTTTTTTTCTACTTTATCGTATAGAGGTAGGTTGACATCAATCGGCCTATTCTGGTCTCTAGTTAACCCTGTACAATTGATGGTACGTTGTTCTGGGATAGCAGTACAATAAACATAAGTATAAAAAAATCCAGCATCGCATCTACACAAACGTTCTGAATATATCATATTATTTTATATAGATTGAGGAAAACTGTTGCAGAATCAATTAATAAAAACTTATATTACAAATAGAGAAAAACTCAGTCATTACCACAATAGTTCATAAAATGAAATGTGGTAACGACTTTGAGTTTTTCTCTATTTGTAACCATTGCATTCCACTTTGAGTAATTGGCTTTTTCCTAGTTGAAAAACTTATATATTAATAATATATTTCAGAATATCAATCATGGAATTTTGCACTGAATGCATTGTTCATATTGTGATAATTGTTTCTCAGTTGAAGGTTCTCTTATCATTACATTTTCAGATTTTCGTCAAGTTGAAATGTGAATATTATGTGACTTACCTGTAGCTTTTGTTGTTGATTTCATCACTTCAGCAGTCTCATGTAGAAGCAATACCAAATCAACACTATCGGATAAAAATGATGTCAAATCGTGCAATAACACGCTAGGTTTATTCTGGATATAAAAGTTGAACTTTTGATGTTCTTGCTCCTTTTCCAAATGTGCTTTTTCACTTTTCCTAACGATTTTCACATATGGGGCTATAACTCGTCTTGTTGCCTTATCACTCGTGTCTATTGCAGCTGTAGTATTATAAACTGGATAGTTTGTGAATAGTTTAGTCTTTCTTCGTTGCATTTTGGCAATGATTTTTTATACGAAATAGAATTACAACCAATGTCATAAATGTCAACCTTACGTTGATTTTTCAATATAATAAACGGAGTGTTGTTTTCTCAAAATCCGCCGTAAAAATTATTAACTTAGGCTATATTCGGCATGCAACTGATACTACTGAATCTGCTGAATTTTCATTACGAAAACAAAAAAAAAATCAGTGAAAGTGGCAGATACTAGTGAGCAGACATACTCCAAATATTTCGACTTAACATTCTGCTGAAATTTCTGACTATCAAAAGGTAGTGTGGCTTCAGTGAACTGTCATTATTTTAAAGGGGAAAGGAATGTCCTTGTTTTTTAAATATTAAGTCTTGTCTTATCGATAATAAATTGATAATTTCATATTGTATAATATCAGAAAATGCTTGTTATTAAAATAATTGAAACTTAGAATAATATTCAAATTTCACCAGCTGATCAACTGCTGCTGATTACTGATGAAAGCCATGAAAACGTGCCGCGAATAACAGCACTGTAAGTATTTTTGATTTTATATTTCGGAACACAGATTTTCAGCCGAGTCCTGACCAGTTGAAATTCGGAATATAGCGCCTTTATTGTTGTGATCTCTCAGGATCATATTACTGGTAATATTCAAAACATTCAACATCACCCTTTGAAATAAAAATAATTCAAAAGTTGCACTGATGTTCACCAAATTTTGAAAGCTTAAGTCACCAAAATTTATATTTTCCAGGAATTCAATTACTTTTCACAATATGCATTATTTTCTCAATATCACAATTTTTTCATGCTAGGTATTCAGTAAATCCAATATTCTATGTGATATTAGCCATGACCGTAGGTGATCATGATCTGTGAGATATGCGGGATATAATGTAAGAAATGTCTTCTGAAAATGATAAATCTCAAAAATTGTTCATATCAATAGGGTTTCTCAAGAAAAAATCTCACTCAGGTATGAATTGATTCAGCAATTCAACAAATTTACATCCAATATAAACAGCTGATGAAAATAAAGTTATATACTTAATTGCAAAAATATATTGACATTGTTTTGATTTACAAAAGTGAAATAAATCACTATTGAGACAAATTTCACTATGGCATGCATCATTCTCATCAATTTGAAAAACTTAACATAATAATAATAATAAGAATAACAAAACAATAAAATCCCGACTAAAAAGAAGAAATTCCATCATTCAATCTGGCGAGAAAAGATAATACATTATCTGACATTTGATTGGATCAACCGACATCAAATCTCAGCTCTGAAAATGTATTCAAAATATCCAATGTTTGAATTATTGACGTGGAAAATATTCGAAGAAATTATTGGGCCAGCCACTATCAACATTAATCTTATGACTATACTTAGGGATAACAATAACACATTTTAAAAATAATTAAAACTTCATAAAATATGGAATCTTAAAAAACACGCATTCTATACGCATGAAAGTAACAAATTCTTTGAAATATCAACCTAATTTGTTGAAAAACTTATCTCAAAAATACTTTAAAAAGAAAGACTGGTAACTTTCTAAAACTGGTAACTATCACAGTAATGAAATAGTACTATAACAACTAAAAATATAAAGCAAAATGATCATAAAAAAAACTCAACATCAAAAATCCTAAACTAACGAGCATAAAAAAACTAAAATAATAAATCACTTGATAGTGACAACTCCCTTATATAAGGAACTTGTTGAGCATCACGACCTGTTTGAACCCTACGATACAGAATTGGACAATCCAGAGAATCACATTTGACTTCAGTTAGAGTTGAGGTACAAGACTGACATACCTAAAAGACAAAAATCTCGTTCAAGAGAAAATAATTGAGAGAATTTTCAATAGTATTAGAATTCGTTTCCTTCAAAATGATAATAAGGTTACTAATCATAATGGAATTGGGCTTACTAAAATAATGTTTTGATGGTTCCTTTCCCACATCCTCATCTTTTCCATAAGAATAATGCTCGTTTTTTGGGAATCATTGCAACAATTCAGACAGATACCGGTTTGAGTTTGATCACCACAAGCTGCACAAGAATTTGTCAAGAAGTACTGGGATATGGTGCTTTTTCTTTTAGGAGAAACTGAGCCGGCTAGATTCTGAGTAACTTTCCTGGGCATCTGATTGAACCTTACAAATAAAATTCTGTCAGGATCCACCATAGGTTTATTACATACCTAAGTAAAGAGTGCCTGGATCCAACGTTTAATGCTTTTTCGAGAGGACACACTTGTCACCACTGAAATTCTCGAATTGTTCGCAAATATAACGAGAATTTGAAAATAGGTATTTGGATAAAACCAAAAATTTTCTAGGTGAATTACTCATCAAAGGTATTTCCAATAGGTTGATGATTTTTAAATCACATTTTGTATGCACGCTCCGGTGAAGATGAATTTTTAATCCGTTAATTAGATCTTACAAAATATTCAGAACAAGTAATGTAAAACATAGCTATTCAAGTATTGCAAAATGCAAAGCTAAGTACAGGGTGATTTACCATAAATGTCCCCCCCTCTAGCTCACTTATTTTTAATCTATGGTAAAAGTCCATGGTATCTCAAAGTGGAGTGAATAGATTCATAAACAAGACACACAATCACTTATTTTTGAACCGATTTAAGAATTTGACAAATAATCTAAAATGATTTTTCAGAATTTTTTTTCCCGTTGCATCAGAAAATACAGGGTGCTCGGAACAAATGATCTACAGAGTACTACTTGATTTTTTCAAATGGAACACCCTGTATTTCATCAATGCATCACACTTGGGGTCTAGCGGGAATGATTACAGAGATATAGGGTGTTCAAAATCGAGATTTTTCAAGTTTAGGATTTTTTTGTCTCGAAACCAAGCTCGAAACTATTCATTATTGGTCGAAACGGCTTCTATGTTTCCATCTTAACTTTTGATTTACTGTCTACTGACATTTAATTGGAACATTTACAGGGTGGTTCAAGATTTAGAATTCTGATCACCCTGTATCTGTTCCAATTATTAAATGTCACTAGATAGTAAATCAAAAGTTGAGATATGGACATGAAAGCCGTTTTGACCAATGATGAATAGTTTCGTCTCAAAAAAATCCAAAAGTTGAAAAATCTCGATTTTGAACACCCTATATCTCTGTAATCATTCCCGCTAGACCCCAACTGTGATACATTGACCAAATCAGCTCTTCAGGGAGAATCTAAAAATACAATGAAAAATAGAACGTTCCATATAAAAAAATCAAATAGTACCCTGTAGATCGTTTGTTCCGAGCACCCTGTATTTTCTGATGTAGCGGAAAAAAACTTTATCGAAAATCATTCAAGATGATATTTCAAATTTTGAAATTGGTTTAAGAATAACTGAGCTAGAGGGGGGGGGGAACATTTATGGTGAATCACCCTGTACATATAAGCTTGATTGTTTTTTTTACATGCCAAATTGTGACATTTTCGTTGTCTCAGCCAATAGCAATCCGTTATTCTAGCCAATCATTCGGTATTATACTGATACCAGTGCATGGTCCTCGATAATTCATATTGAACTGTCAAAACAAAACTATAAATAAAGAGGAAAGACTAGACTGTGTTAATTCTCTTATTCTTATAGGTATGTGTTATGATTGAATGAATAATGATTATTAATCACTGGACTGAATAAAAACTATTCCCTTCATAAACAATAACATTCTTAGGTTATAGTTCAGTGATGACACCAGATGCAAGAATAAAATATCATATCAATATCAAGCATCGTATGTACAATAAGATGTTTAAAACAAATCTCTCAACAAATAATCCTTGTGGTGAGGATTGCTTCCGCGTCTTCCTTTTTTTTTTCGAAATGATTAATAGAAAAAAATACCGTGAAGGCGTTTACTGTTGGGGCCGATCACTATCGCTATTTCAATGAAGTTATTTTTCAGGATCGGCTGGAACAGATACTAGCGTCTATTGACAGGAAGCAACAAATAATCTAAGCGAGCCAAGTCTACAGAGAATTTCCGGCCGTGAACGAAATGATCCAAAATTCATTAAAAATTAACACAATAGAGGTATGTAGAATTACTTCGACTTCGAATTGAAAATGTCATAAAAACATTTCAAAACTTTCTCTTTCATTGTTCAAAGTTATTTCGAATTTCGTTTCGTCCATTTTTCACCGTTGTACATATCGGAATCGTACGCAAGTCGCTACATCGTGATATAATATCGATAATTTTACGAACAAAAAATTGCATACGTTTGTCATTGTTTGGAATGCGACTGTCTTCACCGTATTGCGTCTCGGTTAACTAACTAATCTCACGACAGGAATGAATCACTTCCCACCTCGGTGTGTAATATACTATAAACACTTCCGACATGTATGCATTTTGTTTTTCGTGATTATTTATACATAAGTTAAATAATTGTTCAAGAATACCCCGTCTTCATCACATGTTCAGTTAATAATTTTAGGACCTCCTACACGAGTGCACAGTATGCAAATTTTCACTGCAAATTCAAATTTGATTGGTGACGCCACTGCATGCAAGCACAAATTGATGATTGTAAAGAACATGTTGAAAACCCATGAAAATCATAACTTGAAAGTTGCATACATTGAAAAATCGTTACAAAAAATCTGTCACTACCGGCCAGTCTATAGGCGACTGAGATTAAGATCGTAGCGCCAGAACGGCGAATGTCGGTACTACTCTATGGGCCATTGGCGGATTGTTTACATTGTTTGGTAATGGTGTTTATGTTCATTTCGTTTTGAGTTTTCAAACGTCCAGCTTTGTTATTTGTCTATTTTCGAACTTTGTATTTTCCAGCGGTCTACTGTGTTTTGATTGAGGACTATATTATCTCTGTTCAACATTAGATAACCTCCCTACCTCTAGTTGAACTTCATGCGTAGGCTGTAAGTTTTTATCATCATTGAACAATAATTCTCATGAAAACCTGTGTGGAATGTTGATTTCCAATTCGAATATATAGCTGGGATATATTCCCCTGATAGTGCATGATATTTTTAAAACAAAATCTAGCAAACTTTTTGGGAATAAAGTGTTCTTTGGAAGGTGGATTTAGGTAAACAGTTTCTACTTGACTTTTTACAACATAATCATCGAAACCCTGATTGATAACATACTTTACTGTATAAAAATTCTACTGTTCATGAGTAAAGATATAATCAGTTTGAAATTTGTTTGTTCTTTTACCACCACCTCAAGAAGTAGGTATTATATTCATAATAGACATACATTTGAAAATATACCTATAGGTATGAGTAAATTTTCAGTGAAGTGTAAAGAACAATATCTCATTATGTTCAGACACTTTTTCCAATCTTCAAGTTATGAATCCACACCTTTCTCCTACTGATCACTTCCTTGTTTCCCAAATTATTAGTTTCAAATACAAATTTAGACTGTCCTGATTTTTGAAAGGAATGAAAGCTATACTCGGGATTTTTTTGCTCAAGATGAACAATGAGGTACACAACAATGATGACTCATGTTTTTAAACGTTTATAGAAGTTCTCAAACAAAATTATAGACAATTAAAACACAACTACTTCTCATACAAAATACACGCAAACTAATGTAAACAAAACAATCAATGGCCCATACGTTAGTTATATTAGACAACGGTAGAGGGAGTACTCCTTAGCATGAATCGCCTATTATGTCTCTTATTTCCTCAGACATGACAAAAGTGTGTCCTCACTCTGTTAAAAAAAGTAATCGTTTGATCTAAGAAACTACACTAAGGTAGGGTGCTTATATACCGGGTGTAACACCCGTATATCATTGCATCTTCGAATTCTGCATAATTTTCTAAACCCAATGATACCACATAAGTGACATTTCATACTTCAACAATGATTATAATTTCATTTTTGATTTTCCTTCTGAGCGTGCCATGACTATTCTGATCGATTCTGATGTACTCATACCGACAGGTGTAATGCTATAAAAAATTGAGTTCATCAAAATGGTTTGGTGTACCATGATCCTATAAAGCCGGTCGTTTCACTCTTCAGTATCAGATGAATACCTCTACTGAGCTACAACATTATTTCGATCAGATATATACCTCCTTAATTGACTATGGACTCAAGAGGACAAATAAAAAAACCTAAATCATACTCAACAATCTTGAAGATAGGTTTCAAGATGGGTGGAAAGATGAAACGAACCGCTCTATCAATAATCGATCAAACACGGAATCATACTAGTAAAATAATTCCTCTACGTCTACAAATTCCTTATCAATTTGTGCATACCTGGTAGCTTTACATTCGTATAGATAGAAACAATTTGGGTCATTCAGTCGTTCTCTAAAGTGACGTTTAATAAAAATACGAATTTCATTTTCGTAAATATACGAAGTAATATTCGATGTATCCGGAATACCCCTTGTCATTATTTTTTTCATATGATACGCAAAACCGCCGATTCTCCGAGTAGAAGTTATCAACACTTTAACGGCCATACTATGTTAGTGTGCAACCACCACAGGCCGTGATACACGTAGCGCGATCAAGTAATTGGAGTTTACAGTTATGCATAGATTCGATTCAGTTGACGTCTGAAAATTACAGATCAAGCACAGCAAAGTGCCAGTCGAATGCGACTGACATGGCAAGTCGAATCCTTACTGCCTGTCAGTCATATTTGGCTCAAACCAGGGTTATAATATATATTAAACTGACAGGGTTATGGCAGAAACAATCTTTATGACTGCGCGGGGTACAGGGATGAGGTGAGGTAACGTAAGAGGGCGCACTGCTACCAACAAAAATGTTCAAAAATAAACTAAAAACTAACGTTATTCGTGATGATTTTATGGGTTGATGGATAAGAAGTTTTATACCTATACAAGTTTTTCAAAAATGACTCGTATGAAATGTAGTGTGAAGACTGTAAAGGGGTGATAATAATACAGGTGCAAAATGTAGTGTGAAGACTGTAAAGGGGTGATAATAATACAGGTGCAAAATAGGTTACATCAGTTCTCACTTATTTTGTTTTGATCAGCAGACAAAGAATTGAACAGAAAATCCCAATCTAGAATCTTATCTGTTCACCTTGATAAAAATATATAGTTTCAAAAAGAAAAGAAAGAAAAGATTTCAGAAGAAAAAGATGAAATATAATGATGGCATTTGTCTTTTGCCCAGAATGCTGATAGCCGTCATCAAAAAATGATAACCGTTATCTATTCGCACAATTGTCTGAAAGTGTATGTATTGAAATATTTTCAATGGTTTGTGTGAATGTCCAGCCACAAGTTCAGAAAAACGAGAATTTTGTATATGAAAGAATAAGAAATTGGCACCTAATGGTGCTCACTGTTGGCAAACTTGGCCAGTGAAGGAGTGCTTTTCTTCACATTTTAAACAAAATTTCGTACTTATAATGAAACTGGTGCTGAAAGTGTAAGGGTAAGTCGAGGCGTAAGTATTTCTCTGAACTCTTTTCCATCAACAATTTGATATTTGATATTCATTATTCGGTATTTCAGTCCAGATATGTTTTTTTTGACTTTATGTTTATTTTTTATCTTCAACGTGCCCACACGTTGTCATCTATTTAAATAATATAATAGGTCGGTTCATTTGGTGTGATTGGTGTGGTGTGGCTGAACATGCTGAAGTTGATTTTTTTCTATTGTTATCTTTGTTCATCGCAAAATGTAAAAAGTGAGCATTAAAAAAACAAGTTCAGCAAGTTGAGTAAACAAAAACGAACAGGCCTAACTATATCCCTAGGTTTGCTATTATGTTATGCCCTCATGTGACGTAATAAAAAAGGAATTTCAAGAATTCAAGCTGGCAGTTATGCCGTAACCCTGTCAGTATAATATACCAGGTGATTTTCCAAGGTCGCTCACCCCTATATCTCTTTTTATTATTGAATGTAGTAAAACGAAATTTGGGGATTGTGAATTATGGTTCAATTGACATTTTTTGACATATCTGTTCGCTTTTCCGTACTTCCGGTTTGACTGGAAATGACCCCAATTTTATATTTTTAAATGGGACACCCTATATTGTATTTCATAATCGGTTAGGGATTATCATAAGGAATTCAACGGGTTTCATAGGGTTATTTCAAACGTTTAAGAAGATATTTCCATTCGAAATTTCCATACATACCGGGTGACACAGGGTATCGGGCCACCCCTGTAACTTCTGCTTTCGTCATCGGATTTTTCTGAAATTCGTTACAGTTATATAAGCAATTATTTCGGATTTGATCACATTACAATCCAATATGGCGGACTTCCGGTTTTTCTCGAAATGCCAGCAACTTTGTTTTTTCAAATGAAACACCCTGTATATTTTTACATATTCAAGTTCAACAGGTCGAAACAATTGCAATATTTATTTCAAATGTCATTTTTTCGAAAAAAATTAAATTAAAATTGTTTTTTCATTTTACCTCGTGGATAAATGAGATGTGGTCAAGACTATTCAGAATGAGTCACATATAACAGAAGAACATATTTTTTTCTGAAAAATTATTTTTTGTGTCACTTATCCAGGAATCAATTCAGCCACATCACTTTTTGATCAAAAATTATTTTTTTTCAAATGGAACCCCTATGGGCCACCTACCCGTTTCTCTAGAACATACATTAAGGAACAAAATGACATATCATTTTTGTTTTTCGGTGCAGTAACAAATTGTATACATTCAAAAATCAACAACTAGTTTATGAATTTCCTTGCAGTTAGAATAATTTTTCAACTAGGTAGGCTGTGGAATAAATGACATTCGACATCAAGATTGCACTTGTTTTGACCTGTTGAACTTGAATATGTAAAAATATACAGGGTGTTCCATTTGAAAAAACAAAATTGCTGGCATTTCCAGAAAAACCGGAAGTCCGCCATATTGGATTGTAATGTGATCAAATCCGAAATAGTTGCTTATATAACTGTACCGGATATCAGAAAAATCCGTTGACGAATGCAGAAGTTACAGGGGTGGCCCGATAGCCTGTGTCACCCGGTATATTATGCTTCATGAGATAGAGAGAGAAGTTCCAATATCGTCGTTATTGTTCGAAGTAACCCCTTGCCAACCCTTTATCGTTGAATTCGTTATGATAATCCCTAACCGATTATTGAATGAAATATAGGGTGTCCCATTTAAAAATCGAAAGTTGGGGTCATTTCAGGTCAAACCGGAACTACGGTAGAGCAGGTAGATAAGTCAAAAATGTAAATTGAACTATAATTCACAACCCTTGAATTTCCATTTACTATACCTTCAATAATATAAAAGTTGAAGGGGTGAGCGACCTTGGAAAATCACCCAGTATACCGGGTGTAACAACCATTTTGATGAACTTAATTTGGTGATAAATACAGAAATTTTACATTTCTGACAGGATTCTTTTTTTTAGCATTAATCAGACTCGATCAGAATAGTCATGGCAGTCAGATGGAAAATCGAAAACTAAATTGAAAACGATATTGAAATTTAAAATGTCACTTATGTGGTATCATTGTATTGAGGATGTGATGCAGAATTCGAAAATGCAATTATATACAGGGTGTTCTATTAAAAAACTAAAAGTTGTTACCACTTCTTGTGAAACCAGAAGTGATGTCAAAACATGACGTTTATCAATGGGTCATTCCAAATTTCAATCTCTTAACTCTAAAACTAAAGGAGAAGGTGTACCGTGATCATTTTACACCCGGTATAATGACTCTGGCCCAAATGAGACCACTTGAATGCCCTATGGCCAGTAACGTGATGATTATGTGTCACCACTTCTCTAAGTATGATGGACATACATACCAAGAGTTGAGATCAGCTCCAATCAAATTGAAACACCTGTTTATGGGTGGTATAATAACTCTCGTAATGTAGTAGATGGCGTTTGGCCTCAGAGAAGGATTCTGAAGTAAGTCTCTAGGACTGCGTACTAATCGGATGAGAGGTAAGCCAGGTGGACCATTCACTATGATGTACGGTACTCGTTCGCCACTTCTTGGCTCGTTTCGTTTGTCCACAGCAGTCCATTTTCTGTATCGATTCACAAAATGATCGAATTTGAAATCACTTCCAAAAGTGGAATTATTCTAATTTCGATTGAAAAAAGGGCTACTGGTTATTTGATCATCTCAATTAGATTCTGAATTTAGGAAAATGTTGCTTTGCATTTAAAAAGCACAGTCCGGTGTTGAGTGTGACTAAAAAATCAGATTCTCGAATTAACCGTTTTCAAGTGATTCATAGTAAACCTATTATTTTTTAAACAAGGTGAATTTGAAAGTGAGGTTTTTCAATAACAGGATATATATCTTACCAAAATAAGTTATTTGGCAAAAAAATGCTCACATAAAATATTCAAGATAACGGAGGTACAGGTATTTAATGGTTTGAAGAAGACTACAACTATGTAACATGTTGTTAACATTTTCTCAAAAAAACGCAAAAAGGCCGTTATGAGTCCAGCATTAGATACCCTACAGTTGCATTATTTCATGAGAAACACTAATCAAAACCTCTTTTTCCATTTTCAACCTATTAATTATCGTTTCAAAGTGAACCAAAAACTTCAGGAGGGAAATGAAGCTTAGGCCAAACTACTCATTTTGGCGAGACATATACCCTGCTAAATGAATAACCTCACTTTCAGATTCACCCTGTACAGACTTATGGTTACTTTCAGAAGCGTGTATGTGAATTTCTGCAGTCAACTATGAGATTAAAAGATTTTCATCAAACATTTTGTAAACTTTATGTTATTTTGTTATAGGAACCAGAAAAAGAAAGAAATACCATCACAAAGTGTAATTTCATTCCACTTGTCGTGTTTTTAATTATTTAGGAGCATGAGTGTATACACATTTGAACTGATTATGAATTAAGGTGCAGATTATGTGGAAGATTCCTCTGAGAATTTTTCCGAAACAGTGACATGGATAAAAAATGTTCTACAATCAACTTTGCGAGTGTCGACACTGAAAAAGTAAGAAAACCAAGATATTTTTTAGCATAGAATAGATTTTATATCCATGTGCCAACACACGAAAATTGTAGCTTAACCTGGAATCATAAATCTGATAAAGATAGTAAATGAGGGTAACTTCCAATATGTACCAGTCATGATATTTGGATTCGACTCATGTTTTGAATTATCGTCTACAATTACAAAATTCTTAGGGAGAAAATCACTATATTTTCTTGAAAACTGTTGAAAAAAATAAGTATTTGTGTATCCTTCAACTGATTGAGAAACTATAAGATATCTGAATAACGTAGATGTGTATTTGTATGAATGAGCATCCATGTGTCTCTGATATTATCAAGATTTTTGACAAGTAGCTGTGAACAAGAGTATCATTATTTGACAATTGATTTAGGAAACGGGGCACATGATGATGGGGAATGTCCCACACTGGAGAAACTATTCAAAGCACCAATATGCAGCACCAAATCGAAAGAGAGTAGCCAGACCAAAACATCATTACAGTGTTTGCCAAGTAGACCAAACTTATTTAAGAGTTATGAGAATCAGTCCAATAATTTTGCCACAAAGGTTCGTACTTTTTAACTCCAGTGAGAGATGACTGAACTCTTTCAGGCCCAAACATTACTACACCTAACTATTACTGTTGGCAGCTCTCACTCGCGTTCCAATGTGAACAAAACCACAATTTACCATTCTCGCAGAATTTTTCTCTGATGAGAATTTCATGAAAACTGTCAATTTTTGAAACAGGCATTGGCACATTTATTTCCGAAAACAGCTCGTACTAATTATATACGTTAAGAATGTTATATACCTGGTGAGTTCTAACGCTGGTACACATGCTCCAGGACGATATCCAGCTGCACCACGATATTCTTTAGCAAATATCAAGTCTTGAATACTGGCTCGACCAGCAATAATCTTGTCAAACTGTCTCAAAACGTATTTCTTGGCTTGACTGATATCTTTGGTTTCGAACAGTATTCTTAGACATTTCTCAAGCATCTATAATACGAAAAATATATATAAATAGGGAGATGAAATTTCAATGAGTAGGAATCAATATAATTTGGTTAGTTTTCATACCGTTGTTACACTAACCAAATACTTCTTTTTCCAATATGCCAATTTATCAACTACCTTGGCAGAACTTCATCACTTCCTTCAACATCGTGTCTCTGTCATAGTCTCATAGTGAAATCCGTCATTTCATTTCAAAGCTTGGGCATTCCATGAGAAGGTATCATTTCTCAACACTCATATAATAAGGTACTAGGTTTGTAAACCTAATATTATGATAAGTTAACTCTTTTTCCACTCAAGGAACAACATAATTGTTGATATACTGAGGGAGAATATGTCTCATGAAATGCATGGTTTTTCATGTAATGGCGGATTTTCATTACGAGATTACAGCACCTCCATCGATCGAGATCGATTATCAGCCATCGAATGAAAACATTAACTACATCATCTACAGCATGTATAACTCATGTATTTTGGGAGTAGGAATGATATTAAAGAATATACTGACGAAATGGGAGGAAATATCGAAAAACAAGGGAAAAGACGATCACAAGTTGGGAAAAGACTATCACAAGTTGGGAATAAAAGACTATTACAAGTTGGAAAAAACACCACCCAAACAACCATGGTTTAAAAAATTAGAGGAATAAACCGAAAAGACATATTAACATTCAATTGAATGAGATCATCTTATTGCAGTGTACCCGAACACCTATACAGAATAGGAGTTGTGGAAAATTTATGTAAACAGAAGCCATCCCCAATAAATATACGAAGGATAGTGTGCACACCAACCAGATACAAAGTCAAAGCGGTGAGTAAATTCCTACTTAAATGTAACTTGAGTATATATAATATCTATTTTGCAGACGAATCAATGAAATATCAATACGGAACAGTGATACATCAACTCGAAATTATTAGAACTTTAAAACAATATGTCAGAAATACTCAAGTTGCACATTTCCTGAACAAAGGATTTGCTCGAATGGCTGTGAATGATTTGTATTTTCCGGAATGGCACAGAACTCACCAGCAAATAATTATAGATATCCAAAATACTAATAACTGATGTTTCCGTTGAAATATTTATTGCTCTTTTCGTTATAAATACAGTTTGTAGTGAAACTTCATTCCAAACATCATTCTGCATTTCATATTTTATTTTTCAGCTACTTTTTTGAGGTCATCGGTCATATTTGTTACTTTTCTTCAATGTACTCTAGGTCATTTGTTTGATATAATTGAGAGTAAATATTTTTGGGGCAATTTCAAATTGAAATTTCAATGCCCCCAAGTTTCATCGTTGGAACTATTCATTGTATTCTAATAGTTATTTTTCTTTTTATTTCCGATAACTTTACCTGACAGTACGATTTTATCAACTTTGAAATAAGAAAATTTGAATAATAATGATATCAAAAGATACGTAAAATAGAGAAGATGGCTTTTAGCACGTAGTTCTCGAACTATCGGGTGGTACAAAAATTATTCATGAATCATCGTTTCGTGGCCAAATGTGATGAACCATTACCTAAACATAACCCCAAAAATAAAGAACCTATAGTGGAGATTTTTCTCACAATAAAACTAATGGCTTATTCTGTTTGTGCATGTCTACCTGATACATATACAGGGTGTTTCAGAGTTGTGTCAAAATTCTAGGAGATTCCCCTCAACAAAATATTTCAAAAAGTTCATATGAACATGCGCCTGAAAATGCTTCGTTTCCAAGATCTAGGGTGTCCAAGTAAGAAAAAAGGGTTCCTCATTATCTTGAAAAAATATTTCTCTCAAAATTTGAAGGTAGTATACATTTCAGAGAGGGTATTGAATTATATGTTTTTTTTTTCGTTTTCATTCGGGGAGAGTCAAAAATGTGTACAGAGCTTGCTGGAAGTGATAATACATTGAAAGATAAGTATAGTTTGATAGATCAACTAGTGACCCAAACTGTTATATTAAGGGATATAATATGTCCTTACATCTGATCATTCTGTAAAGAGATGTGGATCTTCATAATCCAAGATTAAATTGTCGAAAAATATGCATATCAAAAAGTTTGAGCCATATTTAATGTAGTCCCACCCTGTATTATGATATTGTCGAAATTATCGAAATTTAACTAAATTCATCTATCAACTGCTCTTAATTAATAGAAATATAAATCACTAATAGAACTTGAACATACTATACGTGTGGTGTGAACCTTGTATGGAACAAAGTACTCACTATATAAATATATATATACATATGAATATATCTTCATGTAGGTATTATGTTGTCAATATTTACATGTACTATCATTATTATACGAACTATTAACCTCTCGATCAAAACTCACCTGCCTCAATATGTAACATATCGAACTATCAAATGAAATAATTGATGAGATATTCATAGACAAGTTCTTAAATGAACTTATTTGGATCACTCCCTTTATTTACCCTTAATGTAGCATGGTTTACGAGAATGTGTGATGTGATGTAATGTATTATTCTACATGGTAAATAAATTTATTATTATTATTAAAAATTTATTATTATTATTATACACTGCCAAATAAAAATTTTGAATGAGTTCAATCTCACTGCATTGGGCAAAGGAAGTTTAGTTCTTGTACCGAATTGCATCATTTTATCACATGGCATTTCGGAAATATTCAAGAAATATCATCTTCAGGATATCCACTTCAGGCGGCCGTAACTCCCTTAGGAGACATTTTTCGACCCATATTCATCAGAACTTTTCGTCTTATTTTTGGTCTTTGAAGCCACTAGTGAAGTTTGGCAAGCTAGTTTCGGGACACCCTGACACCGTAAATAAATAAATTTTCAAGTTACCTTACTCACTGCTGGACATCCATCCCTTCGAACAGTTTCAATGCCCTTGGCTTCATAAACAGGTTCTTTCTGATCAGGGCTCTCATACATATACCCGACATACCGTTTTTTAGTTTGCAATATGCAAGGTTGGTAAACCTTCTCCAATTTCAATTTGATGGGATCTGGGTTGGCATTGGTGACGGCTTCGGCAATTTTTTTACCCACACTGAAGGCGTGTTCTTTCGTTTTTCCGGGAACGATCACGAATAAAGAATCGGTGTCGCCGTACACCACTCTGGCACCCCATTCGGGAGTGTTTTCAACCATTTCGATGGCTCTTTGGAGGGTTTCTCTTCCTGAAAATACAAAGTGATTCTAATGCCCAACAACCACCAAGGGATCCAGTGGATAGTTGATTTTGTATCAAAATCTTATTCGTTTGGTGAAATAATTCGCCGTATAATTTTGTTTAATACGGCCGATACTCAATGAAAATGTATAGCAATGTGTGGTCTAATGAAAAAGTACCTTGGGAAGACCATTATTATTTCTTGAGTGTATTTTATAATTTCAATATCGATAGTAGTCTTTATAGACACACATAGATATAATACTCATGGAGAGGGACAGACTCAAAGAAGATAACACAGAATAGTTTCAACAGAAAGAAAGGCCCACCACGGGTGATCACACAACATACAGGGATATGAGAAAAAGGAAACATTCAAACATCTCAGAACCATGTAAAGGCTACAGGAGAAAAAATGTATCTTAAACAAGACCAGCCATTAGATACAGTGCTTCGAATATCTCATTTTACGCTCTTCGAAGAGTAAGAACACGCTTGTCATGCTGTTAAAAACCTCAACAAAAAACATGACACACAAATATGTTTTACAAGAGATGAGATGTCATTTTTCTGTACCCCTTCATTGAACGAGTGCAGATATAATATTAGCTGACAGTGGCGTAACACCAAAGGCACATAATGCTCATTTTGTAGTTATATCAGTATAATATAATTGAATCGATTTCCATGAAAAGGATATTATAATTTGAGCTTCAACAACCACTTGGAACGTCTTCTCGGCTTCGTGCAACTCAAATAAATGGTAGCCATCACTCTTAGAATTTTTGCAATTCGCTAGGTAACGAAAAACAAATATTCGATCGAACACATATTATAACACATTTTCGCTCACCCTGCTAATAAGTGATGTGAGCAATATTTCATGTTCGTTTGTTCCGAGCAATTGATGATTGAGTGTTCTTTTGACTCCGTGAATTTTCAGGGATAAAGGATGACAAATGAAAACAAACAAAATGGCGAAAAATGCAACAATTATATATAAATATGGCAAAAAAGAGTAGAATTCTTAACATTGCCAAGGTAATAGACGCGAATTCGGACCATTCTCGAATAATGCCCGGCTATGTTCAGAAATGATTTATCCCACTGCTTTGTGTTCGTTTGTGTTGAGCAGTAAATCAAGCTTTCTGTTAGTTTGACTTGAGCAAGAGATGAATGATCCTACTGAATCATAAAAATCGAATCAGTGACGGCAGATTACGTGATCTTCATGATTTTTTGAGCATGTTGAGCTTTTCAAACGAACTGGCGTGAGATGTTCGAGACACTCTAGCTTAAGCAAGACACATCCGTGGCACTTATATCGCTAGTAAAATCAGACGGAATGTTAACCTGTGCCATCATGATGAGGAGTATTTTACCAAAATCATCGAGAATTAAAGCGATATGAGGCGCTATTCACTTGCGTTAACACACGTGCTCGCATCAAAATTGTGAAAACATTGACTACAGAGTCCGATTTCATAGCTCTGCTGAGATTCATCAGTATAAAGTGAACTGGGGAAGAGTTCGGGTATGGATCAAGATTAAATAAAGACCCCCCTCTCTCTCTCTCTCTCTCTCTCTCTCTCTCTCTCTCTAAAAGAATCTAAAAATGCAATAAAATACAGGGTGTTCCATTTGAAATAACAAAGTTGTTGCTTCTTTTCGTTAGAAGCGGCAACGCCGCGGGGCTGAAAATATTTTAGAACCATGTCCCCCTCGAAAATAAAATCGACCTGTCTTTTCGTTTTTCCATATTATCGACTTGGAGGGAGATATTAAGGGTGGGAAGTTTTCAAATTGACACCCTGTATAGAAGCAACAACTGTCCAAATTCGAACGAACTTTTCAAGTGTCCCGTTTCTGGTTTGACTAGGGCCCCTTGATGTAAATTGACGTATTTGCCATCTTATCAGGGTACGGCCAGATCTAGTGACTTTAGTTTCGTGTACTAGCATCCCTGACATTGCTGTCACATCACATCCATAGGCGCTGAAATAAATCCTACAAAAGTTTAATTAGTACTTAATATGTTATTTTCCAACTGGAAGAATGGCAAGATGTGTTACGTTAGGCTTTATCTACAGTTGAATCAGGAATTCCATGTGGAAATTACGAAAGATACGCCAATGTCCTCAATTTAACCAAAAAACCAGACCAATGTCAGAAATCTAGTGTTTATCCTCAGAATTGAATAAGGATGGAACTATTTAACTGTTAACAAACACTTAAGAGAGGATACAAGGATCTGTCCGTACCCTGATAAGAAAAATACGTCAGTTTGCGTCAAAGGACCCTAGTTTTGACCAATTCACTTACCTTTACTAACTACACTATCTCCGACTTCAACTGAAGGCATCCTCCCACTAAAATTAGCTGCCGTATAACCATATGTAACGTTAGCGATTAACTTGAGACCTAGTTGTCGATTATGAAGTACTCTCTGCAACACCTTATCATCCTTATTTTCTTTCATAGCATTCTTGACCATAAGCCTAGTATCTAAGATTTCTCTCAACATTCTTGGCATTATCCCATCTCTTACTTCTTTCTTGACATACCCTACTCCACACGGAGCAAAATTCAACAAATCCCTGTCAACAAGTTTCTGCAATCTCTTTCTCGACACTTTCAGCTGTGTGGCACCAAACTCAAAGGGTCCATTTTTCCCCAAACGATCCACCCTTCCGACACAGGTTGTGAAACAATAGTTGTAAGCAATTATGATTGAAGGATACAGACTTTGGAAATCCAGAACAATTACGGGATCATTATATAGCTTAGACTCGGGCTCTAGGACTAAAGCAATATATTCTGGAGCTTTCATTTTGGCCCTTTGTTCAATAGTAGGAGAAACAGGAATGAAGTTAAGTGGCTTTGCTAGGCGAAGCATCATGGACTCCACTCTGAACTGAGTACCTCTAGATAAAACTTCATAGAATTGTATACCAAATAACCTGAAAATTCAAAATTACTCGTTATGATCTATTTCTAGTTTCTTTTAGAGGCATATTTTTACTGTATATATAGGTACCTAAGTATTTACTAGGTGATCTAGGATATAGATAACCTACTAATATCCTTTCGGGAATTTGAGTGGAATAATGAAATTTATAGTTTGCTTTTTTGTGACGTTAACATTGCTCGATGGCGGCTAAATAAGAGAAACTTAGCCTTTCTTAGAAATATTACGTTCAACCTCTTTTTTCGAAGAATCAACTGCAAAACAATAACTTTAAACGTTGATGTATACTAACCTAGCCAATTCACTTGTTCTTCCAAGAATATCCAGCTTCTCAAAAAGCTCCAAAATGCCATCAACTCTTGTCAAATAGTACTTCACGGTTCTATGCCTATACAAATTTGTTCGATGATCCCACCAAAACGACAAATCCTTAAATGGATAATGTGGAATTCTTCGATTTAAAATACGAGACATAACTGATTCAAAAGTATAACTTTGCAAAGCTATTTCATGTCTCATCAATCGCCATACATCCAGAACGATTCGACCTATAATCTTGAGTTCATTTGGTGCATCTTCATCCTTCCATCTCAGACTGTGGATTTTTGTTCTACCCAGTAGAGGTTGTAGGTTTATCCCTATGACATTGGCTCGCTCAATAATATACCCCCATGATAATAATTCTACCTCATAACCTGTCAATATATCGGGATCCCAATATGTCATAAGCTTCAAGAGTTCTTTGATCAGGTTTTCTTCTGAATCTACATAAGCTATGTCACAATCTACTCCAATCCCATTGAGTATTGGTAATTTATCAGCATTAGGACTTAAGGGTAAAGTGTTGATAGCTATTACTCCATTACAATTGGATGGTTTTGTTTTAGGTTCAGGTACATCATGAAGAATTGAATAAAATATTGCTCTTATCGAATCATAGATTGGATCTGGTTTGAATTCACCACGAGTTCTAACGTGTAATTCCATGACAAGTACTGTCAAATTTTGGTGTTCTATGATGGCACGAGCATCTTGAAGGTTCTGTGCGGACCTGTTGAAACTATTGTATATCGTAACCCCCGTTATTTGACAGGATTGGTTGACAGAGTAATCTTGACTAGGAACAAGTGGCCTATTCAGAGTATTCGATATTTTTTTGCGCATATATTTTTTCCTAAACTTCTTTCCAATGGTAGGACTAGAACAGCCTTCTGACGTGTTTGAAGACTTTGGGGTATTCGAAATTATTGTACTTTGATTTGTAGAGTTTTGTGAGGTTCTGGGGGTACAAGGGGTGAGTGTAAGTGACATATCCATATCACTCTCATCATCTTTAGCTCCAAGATTCAACGGTACATGCATTTTTACTTTGTCTTCTGATGTCTGTCGGATGCTACTTCTCTGTTTTTCATTTATCCAATCATAAACCATTTTACCAGTAGGAGGTTTCTTTACAGGTTCAATGATGCAATCTCTATCCTTACAAAAACTAAGTATTACATTCTTAATGTTGTTTTTTCTCCAGTGGATTCCGGAGGGCAAGTTATCTAGAGTATATTTTCTCAAACGATTCAAACTATCAGTCTGTGTTTCGAATTCTGGTAAGTGTGTCGAAGTTTCACTATTTATTTTGAGTACATCAAATCCCACTTCTATACTACCAGTGACATCTGCAACTTTACTATAAAATGGCTTTTTTTGTTCAACTAAAGGTATATGAAGTGCCTCAAGAGAATCGATAACATCTCTTCTAGAGGGTGCTATTTTCTTTGCAGCAAGGACAATACATTCAGAACTAATTTCTGATTGAGATTCAACGTTTCTTGATATATCACAATTTTCAGATGAAAAAATAGTACTTGAGCTTTCAAGGTCTTCAACATCATTATCCTCAGGAATATTAGCTAATAATGTGCCAGGTTCATTTTTAACTCGTTGATAAGGGGTTATAAGACCAGAGCTTGAACTTTCAGAAGAACAATTGAGTACCTGGCTATTTTGAGACAATGAATTTGATTCTATAGGTGTCAATACTTTAGAAGTTCCCTCTTTGGCATGATATTTAGTTTCTTTATCATACTTTTCGGCTGTGGTTAGTAAATTCAGATTCATCGCTTGTGAACAAAAAAACGATTGGTTCAAGTTGTCATCAGCATGGATCGTACTCTCATTGCTCGAATTATCGTCAGGAAGTGAATGTTCTACAGAACTATCATCAGAAATATTATTCTGAACATTTTTGCTTACATCTTCAACATTTTCCAGGATATTTTTTTCTCGGGAGCTAGGGTAATAGCTGCAAGCTTTATGTTCCTCAATTATTGTGGATTGTAGACAGATGTCATCAGTAAATAATTGACGCTTAACATTAGAATCACAGACTGAAGTTATTTGAACTATTGAAGACGTCTCTTCTTCGCAACTGAAAGAAATAAAAAATAAAATTTAGTTATGGTAACATTTTGAAAATTAAATAAATGCACTCTTGTTATACTACAAGTTATACAACAATTATAATTTAGTATGAAGTTTTCAAATACTTTACTGAAATATTCTTGCAAACAATTATTTTTACTCCCCCGTTAAGTTTTAAATTCTATATCCGATTTTCTTCAAACTTTCTATTGCTATTATAGTAATGATAACGTGAACTTTATAATTGTTCAACATCTATAAAAGGTAATTTTGAAATAAGTGGATGTATTGATATATATTGAAATAAGTTGATATAGATGCTCTAGAAGTGGTTCGCCTTCCACTATCTTCCTAACTTTCTAACACCGAACAAGTTTTTATACATTTGAGGAGTTGGTCCCCATCTTCGAAGTAGCGATATACAAATTTTCCAAAAAAATATACAAATTGAACAAATCAAACTCATACAGTCCATAAATACGCACAAAATATAAGATTTTTTTCAGTCTTCTAACAAGAATTGAAAACAAAAAATGGGAAAAACCTCAATTCGAATGAATAAATGATTGAAATCCGCGTGATTGTACCTTGAGCATTCTTAGGGTTCAAATTGAATACTTTCAATTTGAACCCTGTATAGAGGTTTGAACCTTGTGGTGTGAGATTCGAGTATCCTACATATGCCCTATAAATTCATTGGTTTGAATATTGCGGAATTGAAAATGTAGAGAAACTGTATGGTGTATGTTCCACAAAGAATGCCCATGGCGATAACCCGATGATCCACCTAGTGCAGCTTCTATTCCTCATTATAACTTAGTCGCTCTTGACTAAAAAACTGGATGACTTGGTCCCCAAAACGAATACATACCAGTACCGACATAAAAATCGAAACACTGATAATATTTGGATTTCAAACTCGCGTACTCTGGGACATTTTTTGTTGCCGGAAATGTATGTGTAAAGTTTTGAAACTATTCGGTGCGACTGAAAAAAATGAGAAATTGATTGCAAGATTCGACGCAGATAGACAAAGAAACAAAGTTGAAAAAATGCAATAAAGTTTACATGCCATGGCAGCGAAAAAAAAACAGCATGCTGATGGGTTAATAAAGTTAAGGATATCAATAGTGAAAATTTAGTTGCACCCAAGAAAAATACAATTAGCAATAAATTACACGATGCATTCCACATTTAAACAGAAATTATGCAAAAAATATACTTAAGAAGTCCCAAGACATTTTAGATATCTTAATTCTTGTCAGTTAGGGTACCTGCTAAACAGGTGTCAGTAGAGTAGCAGAAAATCATAACATAAATTGCCACCAACGATTATTATCCGCAAGGTCAAATAAAATAATTACATAAGTATGACTGAAACAGTTATTTTCACAGCGAACGCAAAACGAGGATAATATTTGCATCTGGATTATTAATTGTAACTCGCAACACCATCTGTTGGCCATCGATATGAGTGCGCTGCGTTATGCCCACATTTCATAACACCACCATCTCTTTATGCACTGTTGCCAAATGTAGGTGTAGGGATAATGTGTCGATAGGCCCGCAATGGCTGTTTCAGTCATGGCTATTCGGGTACAAGCGTAATATAAGGAAGGAAAACATCCTTTCTGCATAAGAAAGGAGACCACTCATTTCAAAAAATCTAACCTAACTCGGCCTAAATAAACCTTCTACCTAGAAAGTATATTTTTCTGAAAATCACTTGAGACAACAATGAAAAAAAAATTGACCCTCACAAGAATTGAATCCAGCAGTCGCCATTTTTGCTCAACCTACTAGGTAAACTTTTTTTAAAGCTTTCTCTGGTTTCATCATGCGATGAACAGAGATAACCTTAGAAATCAGAAAAACTTCATCAGGTTGAGCAACACTAACGAATATACCTCAAAAATAGTGCACTAGTGCGGTAAAGTATCCCATTACGAAACTAAAAGCAGGAACTCACAGTTCACGAACTTACATGACATTAATTTCAAAGGTTCGTCAAATTGAGACAATTGGGAAAAGTATGTGGTTTTTTTCCTGAAATACTGGAAGTTTTGTGAAACAGTCACTTTGTGAAACTCTGATGTACCTATTTGAGGGATTGACTGTTTGTGTATCGCTTCCTTCAAAGTTGAAATTCCAAGCCAGCACTTTCACTTAGTTGAGAAGTGCGGGACCTCTACAGCTTATAGTGGGTTTTGAAAAACTTCTGGGGTGCCAAAAAATGCTGACAGGACAAGAGCACCCAACTCGTGCACCATTTATTGTAATTGAAAAAAATGATCTTCTGATGGCCAGATTCGAACCAATAATCCCTCTAGCAATGTGAACGAATCTAGTGAGTGGAGTGCTGAAGTCTGTTCAGCCATATTATGGTTTCCTGTTCCGTTTATCTTGGTAAATCTTTATTATTCATCTTAAACTGAAGTATCATGAATCTATCATACTATTCGTTCATATTAATAGGTATCTATCATCATGTAATTGTTGCCATGTCATTTGTTCATTCAACTACTTATTACCTACCACTTTTGTATAAGCGAAAATGTTCCACCTGAGATAAAAGTATGTTTCATCAGTTGTAATGAATCAATATTTACCCCATTCTGAACTTATGTGCTACAAAAATTTTTCAACTGAATTACTGAACGTATAGATACTTTCAGCTCAGTTTATTACCATTTCATAGTAATAGTAATAGTATGTGTACTTCTTTGGTATATAAGTACATACCAGCTTGCCATAGACCTTCATTGAGGTCCTTCAGCCTTATTATTCCATATTTCAAGAATAAATAATTTTCTAATGTATGTATAGTATACTTGTATTCAAAACGTTAAATAGGATTTTATAGACCGTAGCGTGTAAGTAGCACGCCAAGGTCAATAAAAGCAAGTTACGCCCGAAATACATACATTTTATGCATGACCGGTATATTTGAGTTCTCATTGTGAGTACCTCTTCACCTCTCAAGAACGTGGTAACCTGGTAACTCAGTAAAGTTTATAATATAAGAGTAGACTATTATATTTGCTGTCAATTAATATCATCACAGATAACTTATTTTGGGTATGATCATATCATTTCGCATCTCAGAAATATCGAGAAAACTGTAATATCAGATAATGAACTATCACAACTGAAACATAAATGTCCTGAATTATACAGGAATATAATTTTGGTCCCTGAGTAATAACGATATTCTTTACTACCTCGGGTATAAACAGTATAAATAACTATTATGAACTGCTGGTTCATAAACCAGAACGGATCAAGAATTTTTTCAGTTAACAGAATGAAACAAAATTCCTTTTCACGAACCAGAACTGCGTTACGAGGTTTTTCTGCAAATCCTTAGTACAACAGGAATATGGAATTCATTTCATATTTCAGCATCATATTGTATGACCATTAAAGTTAGTTTTAAGCTAATATGAAATCAAAACCAAGATAATAAAACTCACTTTGTGTTTTTTATTGACATCAGATGTGTGTCAGCTGAAAAAATGTAAAAAATAAATAAATAAGAGAGTTCTTGATCAATTTAATGCATTCAACCTCCACCCTCATGAAAATACTTAATGTTTTTCCATATGAGGAAATGACGATGAGAAGATGCAAATATCTAGTTACCTGGTACTTTTGAGTGGGCACTAGGAGACTTGGTGATAGAAATTGGCAATGCTGGATATCTCCTACGTTTAGTGCTTTTTTTTTCATCTTCCGATGAACTCGAGTCGATTGCTCCGTCCAAAGAACATTTTAGCAGATGAGCTTTTATTCGATTTGATCTTCTGGATGGACTCGTTTCAATACCACCTGAGAACATAACGAAAAACAAGTTACAACGTAACTTCAATGCTACTTTACTGGAGAAATCTGAATTACTTTGTGAAATACATTTCTCTAACAATTCCATTAATAAGGATCAAATTAGAAAACATGAATTGTATTTTATGTCACAAGAACTGTGAAGGGTTCCATTATAGCTTGTATGGAAAAACTTAAAAAATGTGCCCCTTTTGAGATTCATGTACAACAAATATCGCCTTAGAATATACCTAGCAAAAAGTGGCAACAACTTTGTTATTTCAAATAGAATACCCTGTATTTTATTGCATTTTTAGATTTTCCCTGAAGAGCTGATTTCATCTATACATCACACTTGGGGTCTATGGGAAATGATTACAGAGATATAGGGTGTTCAAAATCGATATTTTTCAACTTTAGGATTTGTTTGTATGGAAACTATTAATACATGTCCCTATCTCAACTTTTGATTCATTATTTACTGATATTTAATCGGAACAGATACAGGGTGATCAGAATTCTGAATCTTGAACCACCCTGTATCTGATTCGATTAAATATTAGTAAATAGTGAATCAAAAGTTGAGATAGGGACATGTGAGCCGTTTTGACCTATAATGAATAGTTTTGACACAAAAAAATCGCAAAGTTGCAAAATCTCGATTTATAACACTCTATATCTCTGTAATCATTTTCGATAGACCCCAAGTGTGATATATCGATGAAATTAGCTCTTCAGGGAGAATCTAAAAATGTGATAAAATACAGGGCGTTCCATTCGAAATATAAGCGGCAACAATGCATTGTCGAAAATATTTTAAATGAAGAGTATTCTGAAATATGAGCATGCACAATTTTATGGATTTCTCCCGACTGATTCTCGATATAAAGATAGTGTAAGTTCGTCGAGACATACCCTGTATAGTAGAAAACTAATCCAATGAAGAGAAAAAAATGTACCTGAACTGTTTCCAGATTTTCTCAAATGGCTTTCTGTCTTTTCATCATCGGAAGTGTCCACTGTACCATCTAGAGAGTTGATTATGAATTGATTTTTAACAAGAATCCCATTGTGATGTATTTGTAAGATGCCTAAATAAAAAATTGAGTTATGATCTCGTAGATTAAAAATCAGTCTAGATAATCTCCACTAATGCCTTTGTTTGAAACACTTCATTGAAAGCTAATTTTCCCCGCAAATTTCATTTTTTAAAGATCAATAATCAATCATATTTTGACAATCGATTCACGAAATTTCCCTAGAATCTCTTAGTCTTGAGATTCTAGGTTTATCACCATCTGTTAGTGGAACATTAAACCACTTTGAGAATTACAGGTGTTGCGATAGTCTACAGAATCTGACATGGATGTCTTTTCTGTTAGCATATAGACGACTATATGCACGACTTAGTCGCAAGGTATGATTGATGAATCCTACCTATACACCTTGCACTTAAGCCACTAGATGGTTATGAAGGCTAGATCGTCCTTCTGCCCCCTCAGGGCTTCGACTTGTTTGATATATGGAGGTATCCTTCGTGAATCGATTGTCAGCTGGCCAGTGCAACTGATGAGACTTATGGCAAGTCAAAACAGTCTGTCTTGCATCAGTTGACAATCGATTCACGAAATTTCCCTAGAATCTCTTAGTCTTGAGATTCTAGGTTTATCACCATCTGTTAGTGGAACATTAAACCACTTGGAGAATTACAGGTGTTGCGATAGTCTACAGAATCTGACATGGATGTCTTTTCTGTAAGCATATAGACGTAGGGGTCTATATGCACGACTTAGTCGCAAGGTATGATTGATGAATCTACCTATACACCTTGCACTTAAGCCACTAGATGGCTATGAAGGCTAGATCGTCCTTCTGTCCCATCAGGGCTTCGACTTTATTGAGTTCCAGTTTATTATTGCGCCTTTGAAACTCACGAGTCCTCCAAACTATTGCCCTTTGAACATTTGACAATGGTACTTGCCTAGGAAATCAGCTCCGAATGAAATATTGCCAACAAATACATGAGAATGGTTTTGATTTATTTTTATGGTTCCACATTTGATTTGTGATTTACCTTTTAATGTCCGATTGCCTGATTGTGTCCTAGTTTTATTTTTTTGCTTTGATAAGTTGCTATCAGATGAATAGAGATATGCAGTTCCATCTGAACATAGCTGGTTACTATAATTGGCCTTTTTCGTCCACTGATCCTTGTTAATATTTTTTATTTCCGGAATATTTGGTGACCTAATCTCCAGCAATTTTCTGTAACTACATTTTTTATATTCAGGAGAATTTATTCGAAGGGATTTTCTTATGTTTCCAATATTTTCTTTATGGTTTTCATTGAATGCGTTACTTTCTGAAAGATGATCAATAAACTGTTGCCTAACCGTAGTTATTTCATTCCCTGTCAGATTATTAATCCTCAGGCTATTAGCCAAAGTGTTCTCATTTTTATTCAATACATCGGCAGTCTGTATAAGTTCCTCGTTTTCCTCAATATTCTTATCAATATATTTATGAACGTTTTCACTTCCAGTAAATGCTAGTGGAATGTGAGGTAATATCAATATTTTTTTAGTAATTTCTTTATTAATAATTGATTTTCTTCTGTATTCCACATTCTCATCCATAAACCTTTGCAATGCATCTTCATTCCTGCTGCACAATTTCCTTGGGATACGGGTTACTGAAGGTATAATTCTTTTATTGAAATTGTAGAGAAAGAAGTTGTAGTTAGGATATCTGACTTTCATATATAATGTAGGCTCTACATAGTTTCCTGACCTTTTGATGATGTCACTGATGATTTTCACTTCAGAGTAATTATTTTCTATTCCATTTTGCCTGAGAGGATACGGCGCTGAAATTATTATCATCAGAAAAATAACTACCATGAAATTCAAATCAGTTTAAAATTCTCAAGCACACACAATGAAACCACTCTGTTCAATCAAGAAAATGCCAACTATAAATGTTTACCTGTTACCAAAATCAAATGCATGTTAACGCACGATTTGTTAAATACTTGATATGATTTCTCTGTATACTAACAGCATTTTTATATCATTTTTCTACTACTACTACTACTACTAGTGGTCAATATTGTACTACTACCAATATAAGTAAGCTTGTCCTAAAAAGTACCTATCTTCTGTAATAATACACAAGGTTTGTAGAATTGATGATTATTTGTAGAGGAAGGTTCTCCCGATCAGCAAAAAAGCGGTGAAGGAAAGTGGTAATTCGTGACGTAATCCAATCGAAAATTCCATTTTCGAGTCATAGGAATCCATATTCTACAACTGTCTTCAAGTAGATTCACCTATCCAGCTGTGATCTAGAATTATACATACATTTCAATGAACCCAACATGTAATTTCGGATGCGATTACGTCACAAATTACCACTCCCCCTCACTGCCTTTGCTGATCGGGGCAACCTTCCTCTACAAATAGTCATCAATTCTACCAACCTTGCTCATACTTAATGTCAGTCAAGGTAGATACAATGGTGGTAATTACCCCCCCCCCCCCACACGTTCGAGGTAAATCCATCAGTGTTGATGAATGAATGAATGAATGAGAGGAAATTCACAGATACAATACTCGAAACTGTAGAAATTTTCAAGTCTCAACAGTAATGACGAACTATGGAATCAGTTCAATATTCTATAAAGGAGTTTCAGAGTACAACAAAATATTATTAAATTTAAAAAGAGGTGTCAACAAATTCTCACATTCCACTGAAGTTATGATTTGAACAGTTAGCATTAGGAGATTAGGAGGTTGGATTCAAGGGGAAAACAATTAGATATTTGTATATACAATATATAAAAGTTCAGTGAAAATTATTACCCATATATTACTATTGTGCACACTAGGGTATATTCACTAAATTGATACAGGTTAGAATCTAATTATTATCCGATATTTTGTAATTTGGAAAACCATAATGACTTGTAAATAGGAACAGAGGTGTTCCTAGATGACATTTTTATGATCTTTGAGACGTAATAAATTCATTCATTCAATCTTATTTCATTCAACACGTAACTAGTATATAATCGATTTCTTCCTATGAAAGCTGAAAAATGCTAAAACTGCAGCGTGCCAGATCCTCCATTTTGACTATTCAATATATGTGTACAAAAACCCTTAAGCCGTGTGATTTTGCCATTATGACAGCGAAAAAAAACTTAACATTTGAAAGCATGACAACCAAAATTGTAAATAAATTTTTGTTCATGTCATGTTTTCTCAAACTTGACCTATCAGAAAAGTATCCATACTCTGTGAAACGTCGCGATTTGGAGTCTTCGAATGGAGAACAGGTTTATGAGGATAGAGGCTTCTTTATTCCTCCTAACCTTTTTTTTAGTACGCCTCTGATATCTTCCTGTTACCCAATTGGATAGTTCGTTCAACTGAACGGCTTCTTTTGCTTCTCATTTTTTTTTGAGAAACGAACCGTTTTCGAGATAAATCAGCATATCCTTTCTGAAACATGTTAATTTGATCTGTTTCACTCGAATTTTATTCTTGTACAAAATTCGTGAAGAATGTACTAACATTGTAATGTTTTTGAGCATTACTTTGATCTGGATCAGTAACAGGAATAGGTTGTTTTTAACTGACCAATGCGAAATCCAACGACGCGGAAAATTTGTGTTAAGAGACTAGTTAAGTCCCATCCAGTTGTATCTATATTTCTTGTCTAATATCTGGAATAATGTCATCGAAAAGATTGAATTAATTCATTCAACCTATCGGGAAGAATGTACGGTCCACAAAGGACCAAGGAATAGGTTTTAGAACGGATATGTTTATTTATCTTGAAAACCCTTCGTTTCTCTAAAAAAATTGAAGTGCAAAACAAGCCTCTGAATTGAATGATCCATCCAATTTTGTAACTGGAATCTGTCACAGGCGTACTGTAAAAATGTATATGGAGATAAAGTAGCGTCTACCCCTGAAAACGTATTATTAAAAATCTTTAGAATGCTTTAAATGATGATTTCTAGAAAGTATCAACAACACTAAAATTCAAATTGATATCTTCCAAAGTGAGTGAGATATTGTAATTAATATTAAAAAAAAAACTATGACCCTCTGTAGCTCCGCTACTGATCGAGATGTAATGTTTATATAAACCCTTTTTATCAAAATGATGAGACCTCTCATCCATTTAAGTTTGTATATTAAAACCTGAATCACCCTGTATGTACTTTGTTGAGGTTATCTTTGTCAGTTTTCGAAAAATTTGTCAGTTTTCGAAAAATGTAGATTTTTTTCGTAAATCCAAAGCAGCTGTAAAACCCCAAACGACAAATGCTGCGACTACTGGTGTTCTATAGGTGCATTAAAAAAAATATTTTTTTAAAACTGACAAAACCTAAATGAAGTATAAATATTTGAAATCAGAAGAACGTAGCTCTACTGATTAGGACAACAGAAAACAGGGTGCTCCATTTGAAAAATAGCAGTTTATGTAAAATTTTTGGGTTTACGATGATTTTTTGCATTTTCTAGTAATGAAAGTTTGATCAGGGGCCATGTTCGAGATAAATCGAATTTGAAATTCTGCTGCATGATAAAAATAGTGCTTTTTACTCAATAGGGTACCAAATTTTCTCAAAAATTATAGTTTGATGGAAAACCGCTTCTTTTTATTCAAAATATAGGGATGAAATAAAAATAGTAAATTGAAAAATAATATGGTAAGTACAGTTGTATTCAATAAAAAATAGTACAAGTATTCAAAAGAGAGGTTAACGTCATCCTAGTTCTAGTTGTGTGACACTGGCTCAGCTAAGTAATTTTGACATCCTATGACAACTATCAATATTTGGTAAAAAGTCATTATCGATAGCATTTTTTACGTAAATCGGATGACGTTAATTTCTCTTTCTAATATTTGTACACTTCTCTTTATTATGCAGCAGACTTTTGTAATTGATCTATCTCGAAAATGGCGAGTGCAATAGAGACTAATTGAAAGTACCATTTTTAAGTAAAACTGATGATATTTTCATATTTCCTGTTCAAACTGCCAAAATTTGCCTAAACAAATAAGTTGGGGAAAAAGTACCCATAACCCCATTTCTCTCCCACGCCCCTGATCGGAATTTCGGAATTTTCTCAACATGTTCAAAGTGAGTATGAAAAGTTAGGTACATGTACGAACTTTTGTTACTTTATCACAGAAGGTTTCGAAAATATTCACATAAAAACATCATCTTGGTATCACTTTCAGATGTTTGTATGAACTGTTTTCACTTTTTTTGTTCCAAGAATCTGTGGTTGAAATCTTCCTATGTAATTTCGGGACATGTACTTTATTGAGGCTAGTTTTGTCAGTTTTCGAAAAATATACATTTTTTCATATAAATGTAAGGCAGCTGTTGAACGCCAAATGTCCTTTGGCGGGAAATGAGTTTACAAAGCTTTTTTGCTTTTTCTAGTACTGAATTCTGAATGCCCATAAAAATACTTTATATTTGCACATTTGAATGTTTTTGTAAGACCAATATTAACTGAGATAGCTATTGAGTAAAATATGAACAATCACCCTGTACAACCCCATTGTATGCATAGTAGTAGTAGAAGTAGTAGTAGTAGTAGTAGTAGTAGTAGTAGTAGTAGTAGTAGTAGTAGTGCTGTCTAGCAAGTAGACCCCATGGGCCCTTTTTCTTATCACTATAAATGGTGGTCCAAAATTTTCCCCCGATATTCCTGTGATTGATAGTACATCTGAAGCCAAGGTTACTCTATTAAATAACATTATTTTCATATATGAATCAATATTAGGGGAAAGCTTTGAAATATTCAATTGATATTTCAAACTCCGATATGGTCACCTCACTTCCTCTTTAATTTTACAAGGTAGCATTCAGTTTTTTCACAGTATATCACCCCTGTCTTTTTTTGTGGACGACTCTGAAAATTCTCATAAGAAATAGCTATTTATATATCAAGGGAGCAAATGTATCCATTTCCTCCCGCGTGTGAAGAAACACACATGGGAAGAAATGAACCTTTGCTCCCAAGATATACCGGGTGTAACAGGATCATGGTACACCCCCCCTTTTCTCCTTTAGTTTTGGCGATAAGTGATTGAAATTTAAAATGATCAATCAACTTGATAAACGTCATGGTTTTACATAAATAAGTTTCATTTTCCACTTCCAGTTTCACCGGAAGTGATAATAACTTTTCAAATGAAACACCTGTATATCATTGCATATTCGAATTCTGCATTATTTTCTGAATGCAATGGTTATAATTGACATTCCAAACTTCAATATTGATTTTGATTTCATTTTTGATTTTCCATTTCAGTGTGCCATGACTATTCTGATCGAGTCTGATGTATTCACATCGACATGTATGATGCAAAAAAATGAATCCTGTCAAGAATGTCAAATTTATTGATTTATCACCAAATTAAGTTGGAGAAAATGGTTTGGTGTACCATTATCCTGTTACATCCGGTATATATGATTTTATCCACAAACGTACATATTTTGAGAGGGCCGTTCTTAAAATTGTGTTTCAGGCGGTATATCTCTCGAGTCTCGATCCAGATCAATGTGTTACAAGAGTGTAGTATGCCATGGACATTTGCCAGTATTCGAATCTGAACGAAAGCAAGTTGACCCTTCTGTCATATTGAATTGTTTTATTGTGTAATTGCATTTGAAAGTTTCGATTGAGTTTGGAAAATGAAGAATTGCATGAGATCATTGTAGTTCAAAACGGTAATTGTAATTTGTTTTATAGTAGTGATGGAAACACTGATTAGGTACTTGGGTAGCACAGATCTTATTTGTATATCTCTATCAAGGTGCAAGCTGAAGCCAATTCATTTCACCTCCAAAGGGAGGTAATTTTTTTTCTCCCACGTGAGTAAATTGATAGGTTTGTGTCCTTCAATGCAAATGCTTACTTTCGATGCAGTGAGTAGGTAAAATATTTTAACGTAATTAAAAATAAAAAAAATCTTTATGGCGTTTTGATGATTAAAGCAGTTTTCGAAAAATGTATGTTTATAAATCAATGTGCGATTACTCCTGTAATTGCAACATTTCATAAAATGATCCTTTTGCATATAAAGGCCTTGTGATTCTTATCACCTTCATCATTGCAGTCAACTTCACAAATCAAATGAAATGTATTCAATTTTTTTCACCTACTTTGATACGATTTGTAAAATACCTCAAGTTTATAGAAAATAGTACCTACTCTCATTTTTTGATGTACTATCAGGTACACAAATATTGGAAGACAATTTTGGACCACAGTCTATATTATGATATATTCATACAAATTCTTACGTTTAACTTTATTTTTGGGAATAGCTCTGAACTTGGGATGGATATTTTTAGCCAGTAGCAAATATAGAGCATTTTCCTTCTCATGTAACTTTTTCATTATAGCTGCTATCTGGTCTTGCCTATTGATCTTCTTTATTCTATTTCCAAGTTTCTTAATCTCTTCTTTAGTTTTTCTCAACTCCCTCTCCTTTTTTTCTTTCCTAGTTAATTTTCGCTTTTTTCTACAATTAGATCGACTTATTTTATCACCAATAATGCACGATATAGGTCTTTTGAATGTGACAGTTTTTGTCTTTTTAGCTTTGAAATTTCTAAAATGATTTTGTTCTATGATTTCTGTAGTTCCATCCCAGATTTCATCCAGATCCGGCATACTCCTACCACATTTCACCAATTTTACATACAAAATTTTCTTTATGTGTCTTTTCTTTGCTTCCATCTCCTTTTTCTGGGTTTTCATGGGTTTATCAATAAAATGGAGATTCTTAAATTTCTTTCTAGATTTGAAAGAATGAGAGGCTACCTTGAAATTTGAAATTTTGAGCTTGATTTGGTGATTACCAGTTCATTCTTACCTTGAAATTACCACTTTCTCCATCTAGTTGGGGTATAATAGTATCTTTCCACAAATCATTTCCATCCTCACTATCATCTTCTTTGGATGCCTCTATTTTCTTTGGTGTAACCATTGGTTCCATGGCCATACTCAAATCCAAATTATTGTCTTCTTCCTCTTCTTTTTCCACTTGTGTTAGTATACTATCTTCTTCGATATCTTCTTTGGCACTCTCTAAAAAAATCTAAAATTAGTTCAATGACTTTTGATGAGATTACAAATCACTGACAAATAATAATTTGCAAATATTCAGTCATGAAGTTTTATCCTATACTTAGAAAAGACGAAGTTGAGAAGCCACCAACACTAACCTAATTCATTCAATAATTCCAGAAGGTTCAAAGCATCTTGATCTAGAGTCATATTGGCCTCCGAATCTTGAAATGGCCTGATAGTTTCATCTAAATCACTGACAAAGGTGGTTTCATCCAAACTGCTAGAAGGGGTTTGGGAATCAACCATCGATGCATTCCGTAAATTAGCATCATCAGGTGTTTCCGCAGGATAAACTGGAAATTAAAATTAAATATTTTGAAGCAGTGAAAAAAATCATCTATTATTTTACCAGTGTACTGTTTGAAAAATTATATGAATTCCTTTCACACAATATTACTAAGAAGCGCAATTGATTGTTAGCTGATTCAAGAGAGACTGTTTCCGCATGAATTTTGACTATATTTCCTACGTGTTGTATTATACGACAAATCATGGTGAATTTACTGGATTTAACAAACAATGGTAAAACCAATGGTCACGTATGGCTTGGTAGTTTGGCGGACCAAATGTCTGCAAGGGACAACCAGGGCAAATCTTGCTGGTCGATCGGCAGCGATAGAAAACCTCCTGAACCTCACTCCCCTCCACATTGTCTTGGAGAGGAAAGCCAGGATGGTTTCCCACAGATTTCTGCCACTGGAAAATCAAATTAGAGGGGGGCGACTGCTGGACCACTCCGGGATACTGTGTGAAATAAAAAAATCACCAAACTCTAGGAATGGTTCCTGACATGTTGGTTACTCAGACACACGTGAAAAAGTCTTTCAAAGTCATCTTTCCGAAGAGAGACGAGTGGGTAAGAGGATCAATTCAATTCCCAGAGACCGAACACGTAATGTACACAGATGGTTCGAAAACCCCTCTTGGAGTTGGAGCCGGTGTGTTCAGCAGAAAACCGAAGACGGAAATCTCTGTCAATCTCGGTAAGTATGCTACAATCTTTCAGGCGGATGACTTCGCAATTGAATTGTGTGCTAGAGTTGACTAATAGACCTCTAGTAAACAAAATCATCAGTATTGTATCAGACAGTCAGGCTGCTCCTAAATCACTGAGCTCCAGCAAAATAAATTCGAAGTTTGTATGGAGCTGTATTGAATCCCGAGAACCCTAGAATGCCTGGGTGCAAACAACAGAGTTACTTTGCTGTGGGTGTCTGGACACCAGGGGGTGGTGGGCAACTATAAAGCCGACATCTTCGCCAAACAGGGAACCGAATCTGTGTTCATAGGACCAGAACCATACTTTGGGATCACCGCAAGAGCGGCCAAAACAACTATCTCGGACTGGGCGGAGGGGAAAAGACTCACGTACTGATCTGAATTACCAGGATTAACCCATTCGAAGGCGTTTCTGCCTAAACCACCGAAAAATATAACCAGGCAGATCCTAGAATGGGACAGGAGTAACCAGCGAATTCTGATAGGACTGCTTACGGGACACTGTCGTCTAAGATACCACCTGGGAAGGATGGGTCTGAACCAACAAACGGACTATCGGTTCTGCTGTGTGGAAGATGAAACGTCTGAACACATATTATGTTCATGCTCTTGCTTCGAGAGACTGAGGTTCGACATATTTGGCATAACCAATTTACTTTGTAAAAAGATGTGGTTTGTATAGTGAACTGTAATCTCTAGGGGTGAGCCACAATAGACCCATCTGGGGTCGCAGTGGAGGGGCGGTATTCGCCCCACTCACATGGAACCTAACCTAACCTAAACTAACCTAACCATTATACTGCATTGCGACAGGCTGTTGATTTGTTAACGTTTGCCACGATGGGTGACTGCTCAGAGAAAATATTTCGTTAAAATCATTTCAGGATTGGTAACGTTATTTCTGATATGTACTGAGGCATCACTTTGGTGCTATAACAGCAGGGCGGCGAAGATAAAATCACCAATTTCCTGAAATCACCAGGCCTCAGACGTGTCATAGGTATTCCAAAAGCCTGTTCGTTTGAGCTTGCTCTATCTGCTGAACTTGATTTTTTCTATGACTTTCTCTGTTTACATCATGCCATGAACAGAGACAACTATGGGGAAAAATCAACTTTAGCAAGTTCAGCATAATTCATAAAATATTTCAACATAAATAGTAAATTTTTGTTCAAGCCTTCATTTTGATAGTCCTCGGCGGGAATAGGGGCAGCAGATGCAGAAAAATAATTTCACCCAATATAATAGTTACTTAGTCGAAAAAACTGGATTGGAAAAAGTCACAGATACCGAGAAAAGCATACTACTGTTTTGAGCGCCGGTTTATTGATAAATCCAGATACCTGAAAGTGACAAGTTGTAATGCCCACATGTAGTGACCACATCGAATACTCAGATAGTTTTATCGTTGTAAGTTCTACAGAAGATGTCTCTAGGTGAACCAACTCACTTCACTAAACAGTTACTTGGAAACCGTATCGATTAACAAAGAGCTGTCAAATATAACACGAATATAATGATAGACAAACACTCTCCAAATACTACAAGGAGATTACTGATGCTTGATGTGATCACAATAATATACCGATTTTGGCGAAAATGAAAATTTGAGATGACTTTATGGAAATTGTTATAGTATACAGAATATGAATTTCCTCGAATCAGTTACAATTGCTTGAAATCTCAGGAAAAAAGATATGTATCGTAATATAAATATTTTGAACTCCAATTTCATTAATTTTTGGTTGTCCTAGAGTGACCTTGATGTAGAAGTTACAACGATGAAACTTCGTATCTAAGTATTCAAAGTATCCTTCCATTGAATGAGTACCTACTTCACTGTTCATTTCAACTCCTCAGATTTTGATACAAGGTGAGTTGATATTAAAATTTGCCATGAAATAACTAACACCCGATATGAGGTAATGCGTCAAAATTTTCAAGAAAACAATTTCCCAATTGAAATTTCGACCCCTTCAACAAACAATAGTAGGCATTCGAATTTCAGATTCGTCCATATTTTCAAAGAGAGCTCGTTTAGTACGGGTTCCGAATTAGGAGGATGTTGCGAGTTGAAATCGCACACACTGTATGTTTTGTGAACCTCCCCATAAAACTTTTCGTATAGAAAGAGGTTGTCTTTTTGAGTGTCTAGAATTACATAATTCATTGCCGAACAACATAAAGGAAATTAAATTTCTAGGAAAGTAATTAAGAAAGTACCTATTAGTCCCTATGCAGAGCCATATGGACTAGAAGATATAGATCAAATTACTTTTTTTCCACCACTAGCTATAAAACCTACCATCATTTACTCCTTTTCGGGGCTTAAAGTGTGATTTTTCACTACCAAGGTAGTTTTCGTCATTTTATGAACCAATAGTCAATAAAGTCATAGCCACCTCTGTTATAATTAACCCGAATTCACTGTTCTGATGCGAGATTCATAGAAATGGCACTCGAATCTAGTAGGCACTTATCAATTACGACTTGCCATATGCTGTCATGGTCATGACTACTAGATTTTAATCAGAAGTGAAAAGTAGTGCTTTCATAGTGACAATATGTTCATATTTCAGTTTCACAGAACTAAAATGATTGGGATATAATGCTAGTGGTGAAAAATATTTAATGTACACCTTGGTAATGAAGAATATTATTACCTCGGGATATAATCTTGGTTCTTGGGTAATACTGATATTGTTTACTACCTTGGTGTATAAATAACTATTATTATATTTAAAGTACCTGAATCATTCATTTTATCAACAACATTCATTTCTGTTGAGAAAACAGCAAGTCTTTCTCTAAGTGCCTGCTTGTAGATAAAATGTGACTTAGTTGGTTCAACATCGACCCTTTCCAACTCAAGAAAATGTTCAATTTGTGAATCTTCTCCTTTATTCCTTCTTCTTTGTTGCTCATCAGCCCACAGTGCAGCAATTCCTGGATTTGCAGCAATATTTCCGGACGCAATTTCTTCTCTATTCAATATATCTTCTGCTAGGCAATCCCCTTCAAGTTCGCATACAGTCATTTTGTTAACTGTTCCTGGTAGAAACATATCAGGATCTATGTTTTGGTTTGGTCTGTTAGGATCTTCTCTGAATCTTATCTTCGATAATACCATGTTGCTCATGCCATGAAGATTGTAATCAATCATGAATTGTAAAACGAAACTCAAGTGAGCCTCATGTGGTTGGTATAATTTTCCTAGGGTGGACTCGTTTCTCAACAAACTGGTAACTTTACGTAAGAGTAATGGATTGTAAAGGTAGACTTTGAAAAACTGATGGTTCCTGTTATGATAACCATACATGGGTCTGAAAAAAATATCAAAAATAGCATGAATATGCACTAGCTTATCTGCCATGAGAATTTGATTTTGAATATCAACATTACGTTGTTTGATATGGACTACAATAGATAAAAGTATTCACATTGTCCGTGACAGTGCATGTATAGAAATTTGTACAAGAGAAGTGAGCTTTGATGGCGTCACTGGCAACAGTTGAAAAATAACCGACAGTTTTATAATTGAATGTGATATTAGTATTCTTAGTAGTTTTGGACTAGAAGTTCCTCATCTCATCTCTACTCTCAATATCCGCTGATCCATTTACCAATGTTATATCAGTGTTGACAGTTTTTGTATGCCAATAAACTATGACTATTTTTGAGCAGTATTAGTAATGAAATGGCTTTTCGGCCTGAAATTTGCAGTTCTGAATAGTAAATGAATATGGAATAGTTTAATGCGAATATCTCGTAAAATAGAATTGGACGCCATTTGGCAAAATTTGGAATCATCATATTTCAGTGAAGGAGTGAGCCGCCCCATAAGCGCAAGACTCCTCAACTTCGAAATGTTGGTAGTATTCACCTATACAAGAATTTTTTGATCGAAAAATTCTTGTGAAGAAGTATACTACTAATGAGATCTTTCATTTCATTTTCAGGGTGGCCAGGTAGCCGTGCGGACAGAGTGTCTATATTCTAATTCGCATTCGCTTGCCGGTCGTGGGTTCGATCCCCGTCGACTGCAGAAATTTTTCTGATGGCCCAAGAAAGTGTTTGGGATCACACGTTAAAAGGTAAGGCCCCCGTCATTCCTTGCTCGCACAAGACTTTCGAAGACTTTTGAGGGTTGCTCGTAAGGGGGCAACCGAATGACGGATAGAACAAATTTTAGAACAAACAATTTCAGGTATGACAACAGGGGTAGTGCTATTTGACATTCACTGACATATAGTGACTAGTTCCCCTAGCTCCATACCATTTGTAACAGACGGCGTTTTTCCTAACTTTTTTTCATTTTGCGAGATATTCGCAAAGAAAGATTTCAGAATGACACCCTGAATAATTCAACAAATGTATTTATCGATCGAATACAAAAAAAAACAAATTTCAAGGTCATTTGTATAAACCAATCAAACAGTGATGTCTGGTACTAGTTGCATTAAACCAATGTTTCACTGGAAAAGTCCTATAGTGTTTCAGATTATCAACACACATTTCAACCTATCATAAACGAGTATCTTGAAATGAGTGGAATAGTCATAAGTAATATCACGATGTTCTGAATATTCGAGATAATTCTATTGCTTCATTGTTCACGATATTGTGTTAACAATGGAAGGCAGAAGTAGGAGGAGATATTCAGAACAGATTTGTATTTTGCTAGACTATTTCACGTTCACAAAGCATAAAAAGCAGCAGCAGTACAGCCATAATTATTTTATGCCAAACTGACAGACTTTGCTTCGCTATTCATGGTTACATCCAGACTTCGATTTGCTTTCCATGGTTACATCGTTGAAAACATGAATGCTAACAGACCAATCGGGATTGAAAGACAGATCATGTTTCCGAGAGCATTTCATAGAGGATAGATGTCAATTGTTATTATTATCGATTGATTAGTAAAACATCAACAAAACGTAGAAATATCAGGAGCCTATTGAGAAGTTAACTATTACAAGTAATCCACCTCGCAAATGTTCAGTTCTATCGTTATTCAGGGTTGGATTAGATGAATTAACCATTTTATTCCATTAATTGCACAAAAACGATTGAGCTATTTTGAATGAAGATAATTCATATTGGGAGAATAGGCTCAGGAAATTTCGTCGAAAATGTTGACAGTTGTTAAAATGGAGCATTGGTCTACACAACATCTTGTATTTTGTGTTGAGAAATTCAGACGATTATGGGCCTTTCCAGTATCGTAAAATTTGACAATTTTTCGCCAAGATGTCAAAAACGTTGTGAATTCAAACGCTAGTGACCTGTGTGCGCGCGCTGTTGCTAGGTCTCTATAAAATCCTTGAATTGATAATATGTACAAGATGGTGTAAGGAATGCCATGATTCAAAATTACTATGTAGTAGGTAATTGATTAATTGGTAATTCACTTTTGATCACTTTCAATTATTCACTCTGAACTCCGAAATATTACGTAAGTTTCAAGATTATCTAGGATAAAGTGTGATACAAGTATCTAATCTTATTATTCGATGTTTTTCACATGATTTCCCGTTCTGTTCAGTTTGTTTTAGAATTGTCATCTAAATGATAACCTAGTAGGCGACCTAGTGCGAGGAGGTACAATATTGTCTGTTCAGTGAATCGAAATTTGTCTGCCTGTCAAGTGGCGCTGTGGAAGGGAAATTGGGAAGAGCTAATTTGTTTTTGTCAAAATAGGCAATACTAGGTTGACATTCCCTTCTTCTATTTTTCTCCAATCTGTACTCAACCACAGAGATGTCGTAATCATAAAATTATTTTCTGACAGTTGTCATGAACTTCGTCTTGGTGGATGTGTTGCGAATCCTTAAAAATTATAATAATTATACCTCATTATTTCTTATAGTATTGGTTGTTATATTATAGTTTGTTGAGTGCGATTGTGTTTTGAAAGGTTATCTGAAAATTGTTGTGTACAATTCAGGAAGTGAAGTTGTGAAATTATCAAGAACTCGCAAGACACGGTTTCCCCAATGAAAACCCGACTAATCGTGTCTTTTTGTCTAAATTGGCAACATTGTCGAGTCCATTGTATATTTTATAATTTTCTTGACATCTGCGAGAAAGTGAGGGCATTACCAATCCAAATTGCTCGGACAGTAACGTCACACGTTTCGCGGCCACGTCTGATCGTTTGAATTGAATTCGCTCGTTTATTTTTTTATATACGATGAATTGATGGACAAAAAAGGGTAGAGTCCGACCACGATAACTTTGCATATGCGTTGCGTCACATGCTGTCCCAAAGTTAACGTGGTCGGACTCTAATCCAGAGCCATATATTTCGAAATATATTTTTTTGAAATTACTGAAAAGGCCTTCAGTATGAAATTAAACGATTCCATGGCCAGCAAAAACCCCAGATATTTCATCTCCAGAGACTTTTCGTTAGCGCTATTCAAATTCCATAGTGTTTGCGCGTAAGCCAGATATTCCATCCAAATAAAATTAGGTTTTGACCCGGACATTGATAAATTACTAAACGGGACCTTTCTCAGTTTGTTCGAAAACCTTTCAGGAAGACCCTCAATAAAGTCCCACGCCGTGGGATAGCGAAAATATGGCCGGGAAACGAAGACCGAAACAAACCCTAATTCGGAAAAAATTAGTGCTAAGCAGATTATTGTTTCAAGTTTAGAGTTGACCCTCACGAGTAACATACCAAAAGTAGCCTCAACCATCTACTTTGTGCGTAAGGGGGTATGTGGAAGGGGCGGGTTTGAAGATTTTTCGTCATTATCTCGAAAATTTTCTACAAATAAAGTTTAATTCATTTTTTCGATAGCAGTAGTTGAGAGTGTATGATCATTTGAAAAGGAAAAATGTATGGAAAAACAAGTTTTAGCCGAGAAAACCTTGATCAGATCACCTATTTACAACGAAACAAGGAAGTTTGTATTGTGAATGACATCTTACGGATGGTTGACTGTAAATTCAGTGACATTATGCAATCCAAGAAAAATGTAGTGTTGTCCCTGGCCAGTATGAACAATTCAATCAGAGTCAATGGCAAATCAGTGAACATTGATCATTTGACTATTTTTGGTGAAATATGCAACGGGTGAACAACTAAGAAGGGCTGGGCTGTCCACCATATCTCAGCAACGAATAATGATACAACCTTGAAAAAAAATATATCTGAAGAAAAGTGACCCTAAAAAATAACAGAAAAATATTTTTAGCTTTCTAAAATAACCGCTAGGTGGCGTAACGACTACGAGTATAGAGAAAATTGAAATGTTCTCCGTATTCAGTTGTAAAACAAGGTGACCTGAAATTATATAGTTTGATCCTAAAGAAGGGCTGGGCTGTCCACCATATCTCAGCAACGAATAATGATACAACCTTGAAAAAAATATATATCTGAAGAAAAGTGACCCTAAAAAATAACTGAAAAATATTTTTAGGTTTCTAAAATAACCGCTAGGTGGCGTAACGACTACGAGTATAGAGAAAATTGAAATGTTCTCCGTATTCAGTTGTAAAACAAGGTGACCTGAAATTATATAGTTTGATCCTTGATAAATTCCTAGTTTTTTTGTTTCACAGTTTTTGTCCCATCTCAAAAAATGAAGTGGTGGGGGAACGTCAAATTATGCTTCTACTAAACGTCTGTAATTCTGGTTATCTTCAACAGAATTCATGGACTCGTTGAAAAGGCAGCTTTATGTTCTATTAACTGTGATTTTTATTTGTTTCATATTCATATCACCGTTGCCGCTACAGGGCGTGACCTAGAGTATCAATTGATATCGTGATTAAAAAAAATTATATGTAACGGAAGATATTAATGATCAAATTTGGAAGAATGATTGATGACAGCCGTTGTTAGTTGTTCAACCTGGCCTGTACGTGACATCATCAACCATTATGGTAAAAAGTGTCCCGTTTTATTTCACATCTACGGTAATGCTAATAGCACCAGAAGTCTTATGGGAAGTTGGCACTGACTTTTTTAAAAAACTGAATTTTTATCGGAGTTCTGGGTAGATACGATAGAGTTCTGGAGTTCCTAACAAAAAATTTCAATAGATCTGGTTAATTGTAGAAAATAACCGAAAAACAAAATTGTGGGTGCTAACTTCACGCGGCGCCGCTTTTCTCACAGAAAAGAGTTCTGATGAGAAATTTCGACGTATTTGAAAGAGTTCTGGAGTTCCTGATATATTTCAACGATAGTTACGGCGAAATAACAAAGTTATTCCTATTTTTAATAGGGACATTCATACGCTCATGTAGCATCCACCACTTTCTAAAGTTCGGATCAGAGTTCTGGGTAGCACCAGTCGAGTTCCACATACAGGTAACTTTTTTCTCTAAAATCGAAACTTTGGTTTTCATGAGCGAAAACGAGCGACCGACAGAAAAAAAGTTTTGTGAAAGATTTGGAAAGGAGAGACAATAGAGGAGTTCCGATCGGAGTTCTGGGTAGCACCAGTCAAGTTCTACATACTATCCTGATAACTTTTTTCTCTAAAATCAAAACTCTAGTTTTTATAAGCGGAAACGAGGGACCGATTGAAAAAAAAATGTTTTGTGAACGATTTGGAAAGGAGAGACAATAGAGGAGTTCTGATCGGAGTTCTGGGTAGCACCAGTCGAGTTCTACATACTATCTTGATAACTTCTTTCTCTAAAATCAAAACTCTAGTTTTTATAAGCGGAAACGAGGGACCGATTGAAAAAAATATGTTTTGTGAACGATTTGGAAAGGAGAGACAATAGAGGAGTTCTGATCGGAGTTCTGGGTAGCACCAGTCGAGTTCTACATACTATCTTGATAACTTCTTTCTCTAAAATCAAAACTCTAGTTTTTATAAGCAGAAACGAGGGACCGATTGAAAAAAATATGTTTTGTACACGATTTGGAAAGGAGAGACAATAGAGGAGTTCTGATCGGAGTTCTGGGTAGCACCAGTCGAGTTCTACATACTATCTTGATAACTTTTTTCTCTAAAATCGAAACTTTAGTTTTTATAAGCGAAAAAGAGGGACCGATTGAAAAAAATATGTTTTGTGAACGATTTGGAAAGGAGAGACAATAGAGAAGTCCTGATCGGAGTTCTGGGTAGCACCAGTCTAGTTCTCTTTACTATCTCGATAACTTTTTTCTTTAAAATCGAAACTTTAATTTTTATAAGCGAAAAAGAGGGACCGATTGAAAAAAATATGTTCTGTGAACGATTTGGAAATGAGAGACAATAGAGGAGTTCTGATCGGAGTTCTGGGTATGACCAGTCGAGTTCTACATACTATCTTGATAACTTCTTTCTCTAAAATCAAAACTCTAGTTTTTATAAGCGGAAACGAGGGACCGATTGAAAAAATATATGTTTTGTGAACGATTTGGAAAGGAGAGACAATAGAGGAGTTCTGATCGGAATTCTGGGTAGCACCAGTCGAGTTCTACATACTATCTTGATAACTTTTTTCTCTAAAATCGAAACTTTAGTTTTTATAAGCGAAAAAGAGGGACCGATTGAAAAAATATGTTTTGTGAACGATTTGGAAAGGAGAGACAATAGAGGAGTTCTGATCGGAGTTCTGGGTAGCACCAGTCGAGTTCTACATACTATCTTGATAACTTCTTTCTCTAAAATCAAAACTCTAGTTTTTATAAGCAGAAACGAGGGACCGATTGAAAAAAATATGTGTACCAAATCGATTTTTTAACGCCTCCACATGTGTTTTGCTTACTATGTTACCATCTTCAGAAGATCAAAACCACAATATAATATGTATATACCTATATTGTTTTCTGTTATTGTCGGCATGATTGTGTTTTCCTATGTGAAAGGGATACATTGAATAGTTTGTATTTTTTTTTTATTTTGACATTTATATTGACAGTTTCAACTTGCAGTTGTTTTTTTTCCAATGTGGAGTCTTTAACCTCAAATTGAATGTGTTCATTCTCAATTTAATAGGATTAGTCTCAATTTGGAAATCAAAAGATATCTATATTTGAATATTCTTTTTCCTCTAACCATATTTTAAATATTGATATTGATTTCAACTCATAAAGTTTACTCACATTCCAGAAACTAATGTTATCTTGTAAACATGTTGTGATCTTGATGAAGCTTGATTCAAAGATATATTTACAGCTTTGTCAATACTGGCAGCAATTTTGTACATCAAACTGCTTGCATCCTGGCCACCCTCATAAGGAATGTAAAAATATGGGAAGACTCCATGTATGTGAACACATATTTTTTCACCTAAATTAGAATACAGTGGTTATGCACATGCAGATTCAAGCTACATTATCATCATTAATAAATTCAGCATGTCCCAAAAACCATGGATCATACTCTAGCTGTTTTTAAACAAGTTCATTTCCTATCAGAAAACCACAACTTGACCCCAGTAAAAACCTCAGGGTTTTTGAGATATTAGAACTTTCATAAAAAAATTCAACTCCTAATATAATGTTCCAAGCAAAAAAAACATTCACAGCCTTTATGAATTCCTATTATGAAACTTTCTTTGAAGGTTTTTTCTGTAGACCATTAGAAAATTTGTCTTCTGGGATTATTATTACTACTATTCAGTAATATTTATGCTCCTTTTTTTCGGTGGAACATGAAAATTCAAATTCAATTTTTTTTATGAAAGTTTCTCAGAAATTATGAGGTTTTTAGTAAGTTGTCATGAATTTCTGATAGGTTATGCACTTTTTCACATCCATGGTTTACCGGACATCCGGACAAGGGAACGGACACTCTTTATATAATTTTTCGAATTAGTTTTACATTGATGAAACTTAAGTGAACCAAGTATTAGGGAAATTGTCAAAAATTTTATCAATGGAATCAACTCAAGGATATACAGGATTTCTGAGTTTAGATGATAGATGAATAAAATGTTCACATGAATATACGAGATTTTATAGTAGCAATAAGATACAAATCCTGAATATTGTTTTTGGTCCTGTTTTCTTGTATCCCTTTGCAATTAATGGAAGAATTAACAGATTTATATTGTTTCATCATTTCAGGTTCTGATTTTTGTCTGAAAAACACGAATTTGGTAATGAAAAAGTGAACAAACCACTACTTATCCAGATATTTTAAATATTGATAAATCACAATAAAATCATACAGTTGACTTTCATATATAAAAATAAATTGAAAGTAACAAAAAAAGTAATAAAAACTTTCATTTAAACGCTCTGAAAAAAATAAAATGAAATGTTCCTTTATAATTTCAACTATCAACTTATAGCCTCATTATACCCACGCGATTTACCTGTGTGAATAAACTAGTATTAATTGAATTTTGAAAAATCTACTGAGTTTAAATTTTCTAAATTTCAATGTAATTGAATATTGATTATCGCGCTTTTATAATCATATAAATTGTGTATAGTGAGGTTATAAGTTGATAGTTGAAATATTGGTTAAAATTATAAAGGAAGATTTTATTTTATTCTTTTTAGAGCGTTTAAATTAAAGCTTTTTATTATTTCTTTTTACTTCTAATTTATTTGTTAATTTTAAGTTATCGCTGGCTAGGTTTCTCTGTGTGTTCATTTCATTCAACGCATCATTGTCGCAAGGTCGTTTGCCGGTTAATTTCGAACAGTCCAGCTCTTCAATAGGGAGACCTTCTAATGATTTTGCCCTACTTACTTAAAGCCATGTATGCTTGACCAGCAGCAAAGAGCTTCGAGCATAAGAAAATAAAGGCAAAGTCTACAGTATAGGTTATCCAAAAACAATAGGCGAAACATGCTAAGGAGTACGCCCTCTGTCGTCCTGAATATAACTAACGTATGGGCCATGTCTAACTTTGTTCAAATTAGTTTACATGTGTTTCATTTGAGAAGTTATTGAATAAATTTGTTTGAAAATATTCAACACGTTGAAAATATAGCATAATACCGCCTGTAAACAAATATAAATAATCCAGGAATGGCCCATAGAGTAGTACCAGTTTCGCCGTTCTGGCGCTGCGATCTTAATCTCAGTCGCCTATTGCAGAATCTTGTGCAGCACCTGCAGTTCCGAGTTCCCGTGACTATATTTTGCTGAGAATTGCACATACTTAGTGTGCCATATTGGATTTTGAGTGATGTTACATATTGTCTAATTATTCTCGGCAAGCCCTTTCATTTGATACCATTATTGCAGAAGTGCATGAATAACAACTAAGTTCCGCCATATTGGATTTAGAATAATGTTGTATTATTTAACCAGTTACTCTCAACCAGCCGTTTCATTTGATACCCATATTGTAAAAGTAGATTAAAAATAACTATTTCGCCATCTTGGATGGTCTGGCATATTGAATTCAGAATGACGTCACATTATTTTGTGAGTTATACTCCCAATGAGCCCTTCCATCTGATACCCATATTGTGGAAGTGCATTAAAAACGGTTAAAAATAACTATTCCGCCATCTTGGATGGTCCGCCATATTGGATTTAGAATAACTTCACACACCTTATTGTGCATTGTCATCCAAACCAAACCTGCTCAATAGTTTTTTTTTAAGATTCACTTATTTTTAGAAAAAGGTTACATATAATATGTATTAATATTTGAAATGATCCCTAAGCAGCACATGTGCTGGTAACAGGATTTTTTTTTCGTTTTCATGACAAGAATACTTATTGTGCTTTTGGGTGTATGATAAATTGACATTCATCATACAGGGCGTGGAAATGAATTCTGAAGGAGAATGCAAATTCTCAATTTCAGAAATTTTTATATTTTATTTTCAAACTCTTATCGTGTGTGTTCAATAGATATAATTCAATGTTCGTCGTGGCATATAGCCAGGAAAGTAGTTGTTTTCTATTGAATTAACTGAAAAAGAGTAAATATTCTCATCACATAGAGAATGCGAATTCTCAATGTATTGCTTTATATAAATATATATCCATTTTTGTATGTTCATAATTTATCTGAGAATATTCCTTTTCAATACTTATTGTGATATATTATATGATATAATCCATGTAAAGTATTTTTAGGTTTATAACTAAACTATCATAATTCTATGCATTTTATTTCTAATTTTACCCTTATTTATTTTCCCACTCCTAACTATCTATTGTTCTTCAATCATTTTCTTGAATTTTGCATAGATGCAGATTGAAACTTCAAAATTGAGCTCAAAGATTCCACCCAAACAAACATACATACATACATGCATGCATACATTGCAAATTAAATAAAAGCTTCTAAATAAAAAATGTGCCATGAAAGTTCATTGTGATATATGAATTGTCTGAAAAAAGAAAGGTAAAATCAAGGGCAAATTGTTCTAAATGCAAACCAAAAGACAGGGGGGAAGAAGGTGAAATTAGCAACATTATAGTGAAATATCTCACAAAATTTAGGTTTGTTCACATTTTCATTATCAAATTTGTGTTTTTCAGAAAAGTAACAAAAAAAAATTCTGAGAAAAGCCCATCACATGATAAGTACACAATTACCAGAAACAGTACTTTCAAAGGATTTTTTCCACTCAATTCATTACCTGTCTTGAGCCCTGTCTGACTGAGTAAATGGATAGACTCTCAGCACCTTATAATATACCCAATCAAAATTCTGAGAAGAAAACAATTTCAATCTCAATTCAGAATCAACAAGTTGTGTTTAGTATAAAACCTGACTCTACTATTTATACTAGAGGTGCATGGAAAATGTATCATTAATTTGTGAAGTGTTTAACTTTTCTATGTAGATAAAAATAGTGGGCAGAAAATAGATCCCATGTCCTTTACCATTAAGCTTTCAAGATCAATAATTTGACTAGTTTGTTATTATTATTACTATATAATCTCACCTGTAGGAATTGATCCATATAACCTCAAAATTGGAACTTGATTTACAGAAGCACCCCTGAATTCAGAGTACATAACATCCAAACCTTCAATAGGTACACACATACAAGAATCCAAGGTGACTAATCTAACTGAATATAATATGCTCATTTTGTTCGAATATTTTTACTTGATTCATTTCATAAAATCCACCTGAAACATAAAAGCTTGAAAAATTAAAAAATAAATAATAGCGCAGTTTGCGCGGGTTCGGCGGAATCGTAATGTGATGTGCAATGTGCGCGACTCGCGACTGCGCGACTGCACGAGGTGCGCGACAATGCGCGCAGGGCACGAATCCGTTTTGCCCAAACATATGTATAGGGTGCTATAGAAGACCAATCAGAGCGATTTTGGCAATGACGGGAAAGTCAGGTGACTGAGATCACAGATTAACAAACTTGTGGGTGCTGAGTAGGGTCCCTTGATGCATCTAGCATCTAGTACAAACGTGGGTGTAGTCCCAAGGCTTCGTCACTCTACACCATCTCATTTTTTTTTTCGAAGTAATTGATCGAAACGAATACTGTAAAGGCATTTACTGTTGGGTTCCATTTTAATGATGTTTTTTCCTGGATCGGCTGTGAGCAAAGCGCACGGATTATTTGTTGCGCCCTGTCTCTTTGATGCTCTGGATGCCTCTGGATGGTATCACAGAACTTAACTGTGTTTTAGTTCTGTGGATGGTATTATTTATCTTATCTTATCTAACCAGTGACTCCACTGACTCTAGATGCCCCATTTCAGGTCAGGTTAGGTGTGGGTGCGAGTCATAGATCTACTACTCATATATGAATCATAGCTGTCCTCAAAGCGGGACCAACTCAAGGAGAGTATACAGAGAAGAAGTGCTAAACAATGAACTGTATGTAGTTTGAGATTTGAGTTCATTGGTGCTAGATCCCTATCTTCCAAATGCATTCCCTAAAATGTGACGTCATGCTGATGCCATTCGCATCTCTTTTGTTTTCTGTGATCATGCCGTGATCCTTTTGGTCGAAATAATACACAAAACATAAACAAACATGGATGAGATAGAGATATTAGTAAACACGCGCTAATTTTACATCTTTCGAAGCCTTTCAAGGTTTCTTTGTGTGATTTGAGTGATTCGTGAAAAATTGTTCATGTTTCAATGAATAAATGCATTTTCGTAATTTGTGCAACGAATATTACATTACATAATAATTATTTGAATCACTAACCTGTGAGCCTTATTAAAGACCATTCAACAAAAACCTTCCAATTACGCCCAGAGTTGATAATTTTAGTTCATGTCCCTCAATTACATTATTTGAGATATTTTATAAATTCAATAAATGAAAATAATTTTCCAATTTGACGGCCACATTGCGTTTAAAGTGATGACGTAGTTCTGATACCCTATCACGTGACCACGGCAGAAGATTTTGCGGAATCTGGCAATCCTTCTAGAGTTTATAATCCTTGGAATAACATGGCTACAGGAACTAGAGTCACTCTTGGGACCAACTTCTGTAGGTAACGAAATGGACCAATAGGCGTTGATGCCGACGTAGGAAAAAAATAATACGAAACTTGTCGAACCAATATGGCTGTTTTCATCCTTCACTTTCCGTCCTCAAAGATTCAAAAAGTACCTCTTATTTTGGTCCCATTTTTGTTTAGATATCGTTAAGGTGGGATATCGTATAGGCGATGCGCCATATATAGAAATAGGAAATAGTACATATATGGTGCGAGTCAAGGTTGGTGCAGGTGCAAATGCAAAATAATCGGGGAATCCCCCGGATGGCTACCCAGTACCCCCACCCCACCACCGGTACTGATTCGCTAGATTTTTAGCAACAGCGAATATATTATATATTTCATAATCTTTTTGATTTTGATAGTGTATTAATCTGGTAAAAGTGATTTGCTGATGCTGGTTATGGTCGGTTTTGTTTGATGTTCAACTCCAGATTATTACTGTTCGTTGACGATGCTGCAAGTGAACCGAAAGTGAAAAGTTTCTTCAATAAATTTGACATCTTGAATTTAACCTAACATTTTCAATCACGGTTTATGTTGATGGTTAATTTTTTCCGAATGCGAATTTTGAGAGTTGAAAATTCCACATAAAGGGGCGACTACACTTGCATCTTGCATCTGATTATTGTTGTGCATAATTTCATAGATTGAAAAAAAAATTATTCAGAAGATGTTTCTGAATGGAGTCTGGCTGTGTTTGTTGTTTTCAACATTAAATTGCCAGTTTGTACTAGAAAACTTCACACCTACTTGTTTGAAATCAGGTTTAACATTCTTTAGGTGAGTGAAAAAAGTTCAAATACATAATTTTTTTCCAAGTTCTTGATTCTTCAGGAGTTCTAATAGATACTATAGATACCTTTTTGATTTCTCAGATTTCTGTATCTACCTATGTGATGATGATAATAATCATAATTATCTTGGGAGGTATGTTTCTTAGGGCTGGTTGCATGTTGGTTGAGCTAGAGGTGAGATGATTCCTTATCAAAGTAACAGAAAGGCCTTGATGTTTATGCAACCAGCCCTTAGTGTTGCTCAGTCTGCCAAAGTTGATTTATTTTCAATGGTTGTTTCTGTTCATTGCACCATGATTGCACCCCACATATGTACAGTGTGTTAAAATTTGGTGTAAGCCACACCAATGTAGTATTCCTAGGAATTCTTCTAAGATTTTTATTTCTCATAATATATTACCCAAAATTATCAACTTTGTCCAGCAAAAAATATTTCAAATCACAATTTCTTGGCTTACTGGGATCATCAATACTGCAGCAAAATTAAAGAAAAGGGATTAGTCTTTTTTCTTAATTTTGATAAGGGCAATGGATTCAGACTAGTCACAAATATTCCTATGTCAAATACTGTCTGTAGGTTAATCCAGGAGGTGCTACATTCATTTTTTTTTTTGATTATTTGGGATTTTCCCCTCATTTCTATAAAATAAAAATATGAGTACTATTTATATATATGTGTAGTAGGACAAATCAGATGATTTGCCCGAAAATGTCACTGTGTTCAACAATAGCTTGTCACTTTGGTTGGAAAAATGTTTGAAGAGAAGAAATATAGATATATATTGTTGTCACTGACAAGCTGTTGAAGGCAGTGACATTTTGGGGCAAATCATCTGATTTGTCCTACTACACATATATTGAAATAATAGGCATTTTTATAGAAACAAGGAGAGAAAATCCTGATCAAGTAAAATCAATTTCTGTATCAATTTTCAAAACAATGACTTATAAAGGGTGTTTTTTATCAACTTTATAATTTTTGAATAATACCAGACATTATGAAATGAGTTATGAAAGATAGAGATATGAAAAGTGAATAGAGAATGAAAGAGATTTGATCAAGAATACAAAATCCTGAACTTTTTAGGAATGGTTGCTGTTTTAGGTCTCTGTCTAATCCTTTGATGTTATTTTTTGATTTGTATAATTCATTTTTAATTTTATGTATTTCTTGATAAACATTTTAATTTCTAGTGATTTTATTCCTTATTTATCTCACTCTGTAGGCAGATGATCTAATCCTGTCTTCAGTAACTACCATCATGTCTGGTATCATTCAAATTCTTATAGAAATTATTATACAGGGTGACTTGAAAAATGCAATTATTCAAAAATTGTAACATTGATAAAAAAAAAACCGTTTGAAATATTGAAAACTGACATAGGAGTATTTATGACTAGTCCAAATTGATTACCAATTGCCATTATCAAAATAAAAAATGCCTAATCCATTTTCCTTAATTTTGCTGGAGTATTTGTAGACCCAGTAGGCTAAGATACATTGTGATTGATAATTTCAAGTAGTAGGTATATTATGAGAAAAAAAATTCTCAAATTGCCCTAGGAATATGGTAATACAGAGGTGGGGTGGACCAAATAGTAACACTGTATACAATGTGAGTCATAATAAGACCAACAAACTCTGTATAGGGATTCCTAACCTCATTTTGAGGTGAAAGGTTCCTATTTCATAAAATGCATTGCATGCAAGGTGTGAAGAGTAGGAAAAAAATTCAGGTTTATATTAATTTCCTCATAACCCCTGGAGGAGAAAAATTGAACTTGGTAGGTATACTATTCCAAATTGATTAATGTGATCACATGGAGTTTACATTTTTGAAATCTAATTACCAGTGGTGTAGTTGACAGATGAAATGTCAAATTGGCATATGATATCTGTTAGGCTTATTGATACTCCCCTAAAATCTATATAACATTTCATATGCCCTGACATGCCTAAATGTAGAGGTTCTTCGGATATTTGCAAAATACTGAAGAAATGTCTTGAGGTAATATTGAAATGCTATTTTATTTTCACATATTCCACAACTAATATCTCAAACAGAATCAGCGTTATATGATTATGGCACCCAGTAAATTGGGTCTCTACTCAATAATATTACTACAAGTACAAGACATATCCTTATAGTTTCTTGCAAATATCTCAGGAACCTCTACATTTGGGCATGTGTAGTGTTATTACTTACCCCAATAAACTTAGCAGAACCACTTCAATATCTCGGATTTGCAATAGTACTATGATTTGTTACTTATTAAGTACTAATTTATTATCATATTCGCAAATTTATTAAAAAACCAACGGGTTAGGTATCCACCAGGGTATCCATGAGCCCGAGGATGATCCTGACTGATGTCATACGCTAATTTGACAATTCTTCTGTCTCAATCAAATTCAAAAATGAAAACTCAATATGATTACATTGATAAATCTGAAATAGTACATACCGGGTGACACAGGGTATTGGGCCACCCCTGTAACTTCTGCATTCGTCAACGGATTTTTCTGAAATTTGGTACAGTTATACAAGCAATCATTTCGGATTTGATCACATTACAATCCAATATGGCGGACTTCCGGTATTTCTGGAAATACCAGCAACTTTGTTTTTGCAAATGAAACACCCTGTATATTTTTACATATTCAAGTTCAACAGGTCGAAATAATTGTAATCTTTATTTCACATGTCATTTTTTCGAAAAAATTTAAATTAAAATTGTTTTTTCATTTTACCTCGTGGATAAATGAGATGTAGTCAAGACTATTCACAATGAGTCACACATAACAGAAGAACATAATTTTTTTCTGAAAAATTATTTTTTGTGTCACTTATCCAGAAATCAATTCAGCCACATCACTTTTTGATCAAAAATTAATTTTTTTCAAATGGAACCCCTATGGGCCACCTACCCGTCTCTCTAAAACATACATTAAGGAACAAGATGACATTATCATTCCTGTTTTCCGGTGCAGTAACAAATTGTATACATTCAAAAATCAACTAGTTTATGAATTTCCTTGCAGTTAGAATAATTTTTCAACTAGGTAAGCTGTGGAATAAATGACATTAGCCATCAAGATTGCACTTGTTTTGACCTGTTAAACTTGAATATGTAAAAATATACAGGGTGTTCCATTTGAAAAAACAAAATTGGTGGCATTTCCAGAAAAACCGGAAGTCCGCCATATTGGATTGTAATGTGATCAAATCCGAAATAGTTGCTTATATAACTGTACCGAATTTCAGAAAAATCCGTTGACGAATGCAGAAGTTCCAGGGGTGGCCCGATAACTTGTGTCACCCGGTATACCAAGTTAACATTTTTTTTATGAAAAGGGTTCCAAAGAAATTAATATAAACCCTAATTTTTTCATACTTTTGACACTCTGTATCTCAGAGAGGATGCATTTTAGGGCATATGTTGATAGGAACTTTTCAATTTAATATGAGGTAATAAGGAATGAGTATATGAAGATTGTCGGTCTTACTCTGTCTCACCCTGTATAAATTTCAAGTTAGTGGGTTGAGCAAACATAAGCAAATAGGCTCCTATCTCTCAGTGTGAAATGCAACAATGCAACATGCAACACTAGTGTGAGGAAGGTCACGTGATGCAGGCCTGTTGACTAAATGACATTAAACTTTTGGATAGATTCTTCATCATGTCAATTGATCTGATAGCATCTTTTCCACCTCTCCTTTACCTCCACCAATGAAAAGTAACTGATAATCACTATTTTGACAGATTTCAGTCTTTTGAGATTTGAAGGGTAAATCTGGTAAAATTAAATAAAAACTGGATGCTACAAAATCGATGGACACCATGAAATGATTTTATCTCATATCAAATTGTATAGTTTGACAAACAACATCCAGACCAAGATATGTTTTCCAAATTTTTCAGATAAATCAATATTTTTCGATATTTGGCTGAAAAGGGGGTAAATTGGATGTGATATGTAATTAAAAGACACCATGAATTAATTCCATGATATCTCTTCCATATTTTTTGACAGAAGCTCAACAGCAAGATATTTTTTCCCATCCAAAATGACAGATTTTCAATTTGTTTTTTGGGGTAAAATGGACCATAAATTCATTTCATTCAGGGGATAAGGAGATATGAATTATATGTGACAAAATCAGGTGACATAATGAATCCATGACCAAATTATAGATTTTTCTTAGATTTTTCACTGAAAAAAGGGCGTTTTCCAAATTTAATATAAGGGTACAAAATACCAAAGTATATACTTTATGAGCTTATTATAAAAACAGTTGTTGATCACCAAAGTAGCATTCCATGCACTAGAAAAAAATCTAGTGCGCAAAATACTACTTTGATGATCGAGAACTGATTTCTTTAACGAGGCGCAGCCGAGTTGAAATATAGTCGAGATGACCAAAGTATTTCACACAGGTGAAGTGAACAAAATTTTTTCTACAAACGGCGAAACATATAATTTTAAAGTAGTAATATGCTAAGCTTAATATAAAAAATAGTGCTGACCTAGCTTATAAACATTTCGAAATAACTGATTTTTTGGATGTTTACTCATAAAAGACATGGTGTCATGGTAACATAGAAAACTGAAAAAAAAATGTCACTTCGCAAATTGTTATCAATGCGTGAACCTTGTAATTTTTTGACGTTTGTAGAAAAAAACTATTTTTATCGCTTTTACTGGAATAAGGGTAATTTTCAGATTATATATAATGGTACAAATTATGAGGTGGGGTGGATATGATTTTTAGTTTATTTTCTACATATTATGTGATGAAAATTGAATCACCAGAAACGCCAAATTATAGATTTTTCTGTGATTTTACATAAAACAAGATAAATTTCCAAGTAAAATATAGGTGTACAAAATTTCAAAAGGGTGCATATATTTTGTCAGCTCATTTAAAATAAGTTGTGAAAAGGAAATTGAAGAAAATAATTTTTCTCTTTTTTAATGAAATAAGGTTAGGGGATCAAAATATCTCAGCACATTTTAAATGGTGAAACCGAAATTTCCAGAAACTTGAAATAACAGATTTTTATGTAATTGTTTCTGAAAAATTGGCAATTTCGAAATTTTAAACAGGGGCACGAAATTCTCAGTTCAATCTAAACATTTGGTGAAAAAGACTGTTCCAGAAAAGATATACCTATATACAGGGTGTAAATTTGAAAACTTTCAATGCGAATATCTCGCGAAATAAAAAAGTTAGAAAAACGCCGCTTGGCGAAAATGCTAAAGAGTTAAGGGGAACTAGAACCACCATATTCCAGTGAAGGGATGAGTCACCCTGTCAGCGCAACACACTCCAACTTTGAAATGTCAAATGGCACTACCTCTTTTGTGATACCTCAAATGAACGGTCTCAGTCAGTAGTATTCACCTGTACAAGACTTTTTTTCCACCCACTACAGGGTGTACGAAGAACATTAATTCGAGGGTCTAAATTTGAAAACCCAATGCGAATATCTCGCTTAATGAAACAGTTAGGAAAACGCCGTTTGGCACAAATGCTACAGAGTTAGGGGAAACTAGAACCACCATACTTCAGTAAAAGGATGAGTCACCCCGTCGGCGCGACACACTCCATCTTTGAAATGTCAAATGGCACTACCTCTTTTGTGAAACCTCAAATGAACGGTCTCAGTCAGTAGTATTCACCTGTACAAGACTTATTTTCCACCCACTACAGGGTGAACGGAAAACATAAAGTCGAATGAAATAAAATGCAGAATGCCGATATATTCCAAGACATGTGTTCCAAAATGTTAGAATGGCATTTGAACATCGATTATACTATTGCTTACAACAGAATGGAATGCATTCTGAACATCTGATCAAATAAAATATCCTTTTAGCACCATTCATTTTATTTTATTCGACTTTATATTTTTCGTACACCCTGTAGTGGAAGGAAAAAAAGTCTTGTACAGGTGAAAACTACTGACTGAGACTGTTCATTTGAGGCATCACAAAAAAGGTAGTGCCATTTGACATTTCAAAGTTGGGGTGTGTTGCGCCGACGGGGTGACTCATCCCTTGACCGAAATATGGTGGTTCTAGTTCCCCTTAACTCTTAAGCATTTTTGCCAAACGGCGTTTTTCTAACTTTTTTCTTTCGCGAGATATTTGCATTGGAAGTTTTCAAATTTACACCCTGTATGTAAACTCATTTGGTTTGAATATCAGTTTTTTGTGAGTCCATCAATATTTTGTCACATTGAAATTATGATGTGGTAATAAATTGAAGCAAATTTCTGAACAGCAAAGGAATACTTGTACATACCTTCATCATAAATTTTATTATGAGGATTCCCAATATTCTGGGTTTCTGGCGCGGCCGTTTCTGTTTTCACACCGGTGTCTGTTTCAGAAAAACTTGGGACATCACTTATGGCGATTATAAAATGATCTTGAATGTCTGTGATTATATACCAGACAGTGCATGTGGCCAACATCAGAAGGTGTGTCTTACCCATTCTCAAAATCCACTCAAAATTCATGGGAATGAATTTATAAATGGTAAAACTGAATTTCACATTTTTTGAAAATTTTTCTACCCTATTATACATTCTAGGTATTGATGAACAACTGATTTTGAATTCTAGACAATGTAATGTTTCGATTCAGCTGAGCTGTAGTGATCACCTAATAGTAAGTAAATTGATAAAAATAACCATTTCAGTCCAACAATAATTGATATAGGTTGATAGTGGATAACATGTGTGAATGAATTATATACTTAATTTGTTCCTATGACTCCCTAGGAAGACTGTAACTCCTATTTTACTGGGCAGACCATATACTAGCCAATCCATAATATATGTACATTGTGCATATAATCCATCTGTAGCTACATACTGTTACTACAAAAACCGTGATAAAAGCACAAACAAATATTGATAGTTGCATTCTCTACAGGGTGTTCCAAAAAAACCTAACCCCCTTGCTAGGGTAGGTAGAACATTGCCAAATAAGTTGGGTTTGCTCAGTGAAAAAATGTCGTAACGGCATCCGTTTTCATGATACAAGGTGTTGAAAAAATTATTTTTTTACACATTTTTCACGATTATTCCGAAACTACTGGCAACATTGTAATGAAATTTCATTTTGATGTTTCTTTCTTGAAATCTTACACATCGCATGATTTTGTTTTTATATCTGACTCTCATAGAGGGCGCTAGTTACACGGTTCGTACGGAGTAGTTTTGAACATAACTTTTTTGAGGTTAGATTTTTCAATCCAAATATGATATAAACTTGAACATCATTCAATTTCACACCAAAAAGGTACTCCTTGGGAAACTCGATACTATGTTCCGTTTTCGGAATATTTCAATTTGAAAATAATGGAGTAGTAATGATGCTGATATAAAATGAATTTTATTGAGTTCAATCATCTATTTATTCAGGTTCGAAAACAATAAAATTATTCTTGTGATGAAGTTATTGGTGGAACAAAGAATCATAAGTAGAAAATTAAGATATATTTGACTAGAAACATGAAATCAATATTTCAGTTAGAGTATGTGTTCAAAATGTCCTACGTTTCGAGGAATACACGATTCTATATTCTTTTTTAAAAAATGTATTATCCTTTTGAACAGTTGGGGATCAGCTGTTAGGTCATTTATGTGATGTTCAATTATGTCTCACAACTCTTGACGTGAATTTACCTATGTAGCATAGACTTTCTGCTCAAGATACAACAAAACTGTGTAATCCTAGTAATCCATGTTCTTAGTCAAATCTGTTTCGATGTTATTCTTGTGATTTATTGTTAAATCAATGATTTTCGCATCAGAAATGTAATGTTGTTTTCGGTTTTCAATAAATAGGTGATAATTTTCCATAACACTCACTCTAATACATAGCTTCATACCAGCAACAGTTACCACTTCATCATTTTCGAATCGAAATATTCCGAAAACGGAACACAGTATCAAGTTTTACCAAGAGTACCTTTTTGGTGTAAAATTGAATGATGTTCATGTTCACATCAAATTTGAGAGTCAGATTTAAAAACGAATGCATGCGATGTGTCAGAATCCAAGAAACATCCATACAAAATTTCATCACAATGTTGCCAGTAGTTTCAACATAATCGTGAAAAATGTGTAAAAAAAATATTGTTTCAACACCTTGTATCTTGAAAACGGATGGCGTTACGACATTTTTTTACTGAGCAAACCCAACTTATTTTGCAATGTTCTACCAACCCTAGCAAGGGGGTCAGGTTTCCTTGAAACACCCTGTATATATCTTATTAAGCTGTTTTTTCAAATTCAACTCCCTGTATATTATTATGCCGTTGGATTCACAATCATATTTTGAATATGAATGTTTCAATAACTGAAAAATTCAACATGATTTCCACAACTACTTACTTGCAAGACAAACTGTTTTGGCTCACCAAGCCTCATATATTCATCGATCATTTTTGAAAGGTTGTTCAATGTTCATTGAGAAAAATCTCCTCGCCTCTCTAAATTAATTTGCAGAATTATCGAATACGATGTATATTGAATAAATATGATGGTAGAAAACAGGATCATTTTTTTTAAATCATCAATTCAAACACATGTGGCTTTAGTGAATCAGATTTCAGATTCTAGGAATTTATCATCATACTTTACATAGTAAGTAAGTGGAGAGCATGATATAATATTTATCTTACTAATAATCTATTCACACAAGTTTCCTTATCTTGTAGATTAATACAACCACAGGTAATGTCAATTATTACGTCAATACTAGGAACTGATAACCAGAGTATTATACACGGTGTCTGTGAAAAAGAGACCGATCCGTTAACTAATCCAAAGGTCGATGCAAAGTCATACGGAGGTGAGAAGGGAACTGATTTGGGTTGATTGTGCCAAATAAATTTATGAACAAAGTCTTATGGATTTAGAGTAATTCAATGATTCAAATTTTTTTAAAGAATAGAGTAGTAGAAAAATGAGCGCAAACGACTCAAACTTCTTTCCAAATTCTTTATCATAGCTCATACTATTCTCTAAACTTATTGCTTTGGTAAACAAGTTTGTTTATATTTGTGCACTTGTAGAAGTTTGTATTCTTACTGAATCTTGGAAACTTGCGTACCTGCATATATTTTTGAAAACCTCAGTTCCGAATTCAAAGGTGAAACCCCTCCTATTTACCACGGATATCACAAACTAGTGAAACATCGATATCTAATCAATTTTTGTTGCTGCCACCTTGAGATTTTTTAGATAATCAGCCTAACTTTCATTTTTCTTGTCAAGGTCAAATGCGTTTTAATTGAAATATGTTTTTTCGTCGGGTATGGTCAGCAGCATCGCACTTAGCTGAGAGACATCATTTTTTGTTGACAAAATGTCGAAATGAACTTTTTAAAATGACGTCTGTGTAGATGAATGGTATGTGATGTGGTGCATAATATTTTGCAATTATTATTATTGGAAAACAAAACACTCACTTTGGTAATAACAGTGACATAAGCCTAATGACAAAAGTTCTTCATTTTTATGCAATATGAAAAGTGACTCTAAAAAAATTAAGTAAGCATAGGATCTGTTGAAAATGTCACATTTTGGTTCAAAATTGCCTTGGAAATCCAAAAATATTACAATATACAGGGTGTTTCATTTGAAAATTCAAAACCGGAGCCATTTCAGGTGGAACCGGAAGTGACGGAAGATTGAGGAATATGCAGAAACTCTCCTCTTCACATACCCTTACCTATGCCAATTCTAATTTTGATACACCTAATATTCTAGATGTTATGATTTGTCTAAGAGATTCGTTGACACCCGGTATATACGGTATTATAGGAACATAACATAATGCACCATAAACTTTTGATTAGATTCATTGGTATTCTATGCATTGTGTTGACTTGGTCTATGGTCCTTCCGGATAGGCCTGATTAATCCTCCTCTGGTGCTATTATTGGCGAATGAAGGTTCACGTTGTAGAGAAGTAGAGAAATATGTGTATCTATACAAGACTAAAAATTCGTCGAGTAGACAACGAAAGTTAGGAGCACCACTGATTATCTTATTCGGTCGGACGGAAGGATGTGAAACTTTGTATTATTTGTTATTTGTACTTCACATTTTCGTCAAAGATGTCATGGATCAAAAATGACAAAAAACCAAGGTCAGTTTGACGTCATTCATAGGTCACTCTGCTATCTGCGATATTTTGAAGCCTTTTCATGCGCAAATAATAAAAAAATCCAATATTATAGATATATACTATTCAATTCAAATTCTATTTATTCAGTTAAAAATATAGTACCGAGTGACACGTTATAAAGTACCACCCCTTATAACTTTATTATTTTTGACAGTAGAAAAAAATAAAAAAGACAGGGGATTTTTTTCCTCATCGAATCAACTGATATATTTTTAGTATCTCGGAAGATATACAGGGAGCAAGAAAAAGTGTAAAAATTTTAAATGGAAAGCCCTATATACTTTCGCGCCCTTGGATAGACCTTTCGAAGAGCTTTCTGAAAATACCCCACTCAATACATTTTTATCTTCAGTATTCCTAATAATATGGGAAAATAAAACGAAAGTAAAAAAAACTTTTTAATAAAAAGCCTTTATTTAAACGCTCTAAAAAGAAGAAAATAAAATTTTTCTTAATAATTTTAACTATCAACTTATTATACACAATTCATATGATCATAGTTTGTCGCGCAATTCACTTGTGTGAATGAACTAGTACTTATTTAATTATGTAAAATTTGCTGAGATAAAATTTTTAAAATCACAATTTAATTAAATATTGATCATCGCGACAAGCTTTTATAATCATATAAATTGTGTTTAATGAGGTGATAAGTTGATAGTTAAAATTATGAAGAAAAATTTTATTTTCTCCTTTTTAGAGCGTTTAAATAAAAGTTTTTTATTAAAAAGTGTTTTTTTACTATTGATTTATTTTTAAATTTTTAGTTATCGCTAGCTGGATTTTTCGAGTTACTCTCAACGAGCCTTTTCATTTGATACCCATATTGTAAAAGTATATCAAAAATAGCTATTCCGCCATCTTGGATGGTCCGCCATATTGGATTTAGAATAAGGTCACATTATTTTTCGAATTACTCTCAACGAGCCCTTTCATTTGATACCCATATTGTAGAAGTAGATTAAAAATCACCATTCCGCCATCTTGGATGGTCCGTCATATTCGATTTAGAATGACGTCACATCATTTTTCGAGTTACTCTCAACGAGACTTTTCATTTGATACCCATATTGTGAAAGTATATCAAAAATAGCTATTCCGCCATTTTGGATAGTCCGCCATATTGGATTTAGAATAACGTGACATACCCATATACGTATTAATAATCAATACGGATAATCTCTATCTGTTTCCATAGCGAAACATGAAGCCGATTTTTGAAGACAAATGACTATCCATAAGGAAAAGTTTTGAAACGATCAGACACATACTGCTTTGATTAAAAGGTTAGTAAACGTCATTGTCCACTGAAACGCATGTCTTTGATGACCACTATAATAGCGCATGGCGCATGCGTATCATGCCACCAAATCCTTATGGATATTCATTTGTTTCATATTTTTGGCTTCATCCTGGCACCCGTTATGATCCGTATTGTTTATTAATACGTATATGGACATACCTCA